CTCTCTCTATCTCTCTCTCTCTCTCTCTCTCTCTCTCCCCCCTCTCTCTCTCTCTCTCTCTCTCTCTCTCTCTCTCTCTCTCTCTCTCTCTCTCTCTCTCTCTCTCTCTCTCTCTCTCTCTCTCTCTCTCACTCTCTCTCTCTCTCTCTCTCTCTCTCTCTCCCCCCCCCCCCCTCTCTCTCTCTCTATCTCTCTCTCTCTCTCTCTCTCTCTCTCTCTCTCTCTCTCTCTCTCTCTCTCTTACCAGGCATATACTTGCGCAGAACCATGGTGACCGTGTCAGATTTCAGCAAGTTCACCTGCATACAGCATGGCATTCGACACCACCATCAGTACAAATCAGACTATACTGGATGCACTACTTCATGCTCAAAGGCCCTAGTGTGTATGAAGATAGGACCACATATGAATACAATTTCATGTACACAAAATCACCTTCGACCATCCAAATATGTCCAGAGAGAATAGGGGGGGGGGGGGGCAATATACTCTAGCGCATCCTGGACAGGCATACCCTCAAAAATCCAACCAGACCGGCCTGAGGTAAGCAATCGCATTTCTGAGACATGCTGATGTACATGTATTTTGTACACGAACACGTACATGTATATGCACATATGGGAAGCTCTACACCGGGCCAGGGCCGGAGGGTGACCAGACACCTCATTGGAGATCTTTGAAGAGGCCATAGTTCAACTAGACCTCCATCATTTCCCCTTTCAGAGGTCAAGTACATGAATGCCATCATCAAACGTGCTTTGTATGGAGTGGCAAACCAATCACCTCAAATGATGATGTCATCTCAGAATAAAAGCACAAAGGAACTACAAGTTGAATATGCTATAATGTCCACTAACACCACCAGTTGCTAAACAATCAGCTCATGCAACAACATTGTAGTTCCTTGGTTCTTTTATTTTTTTATAAATTAATCCTTGGTTCTCCATCCGAGTCCATTAAAATCTAGGAGTCACGGTCTTACCACATCTCTATGCTCCGTCGACTCAACGTTCACTCCGTTTATCTGTGCAGTGGGGGAGAAAGAAAGTCCTGCATCAAACATGACTCGTATATGTGCAGTGCAATATAACCTATGTTCAGGAATCACATTTCAACAGGAGAGCACCTATGCTGAGAGACCGCGTCTTATTTACTAAGTTTAATTCAACTTAGAAAGGATTGGGAGAACTTCAAATTCAAAGGATCAGTCGAACCCGGGACCTTGCTTGTCATGAGCAATGCTCTGACCATCTGAGCTATTTTAACTAATGTCTAATGTGCAGCAAACCTACCTCGACGATCTGATCACCTTCGTGAATGTCACCACACCGATCAGCTGCATCACAGGAGGAACACAAGAGTGGACCGATACAGTATCCAATACAGACTTCTAAGACAGGAAGCGTATACCCGTAGGCACCTTGTACCCGTTGAACATCTGCACATCTCACTAATACATGTACATGTAGCTGGGATGCAAAGTGTAGTCGATTGAAGGAAAAAAAGACATATTACATTATTTTTGTCACATCAAATGTCTCCACAGGATCAACACTCATCAGCATTGCAGACCATCTGCGGCTTTAATCTGTGATGGCACTAATATTGGTTTGCATGCTCGCAAATACATGCAAACGCATGGTCCCAGCCACATATCCACAATATGTATGTCCACCCCACATCGTCCCAGCCACATATCCACATTTTGCATGTACACTGCACTAAGTCCCAGCCACATATCCACAATACCTGTACACGTATGTTCCCAGGCACACGCACACACACACACACACACACACACACACACACACACACACACACACACACACGTGCACATAACACACATGTGATGACTTGCACAACACAGCAGCTTAGCGCGGCACACTGTACCTGCTTGTCCAGGGAAGATCTTGGAGATGACGATCGGCATATCATGTTCAGACCCACCCTGTCAGGCATGGTGGAGTAAGTACACAGGAAACAGGACAGGCGCTTGCAGAATATGTACAGTGCTACTCAAAGAAATCCAGTCGAGTCACTCAAGTGCGCACCGGGGCGTTGCGCAGCCCTAGACCTGCGAATACTGGGCCGCGAAATGGTGCATGGCGCACACTAGAGTAACCGTGACCACTGGATTCTATTGAGCAGCATCGTACTTCTTCTTAGCACAGTACTAATAAGTCTATCATTCATAGTATACCCCCTTGGCCCGCACAGTCCATGTCGATTCCGAGACCGAAATGGTCGGAGGAGTGCACTGCGCCTGACCAGCACAGCTCTTGTAGCACCTACTACTCCTTTGTTGTCTTTGTCTCTTTTATTACCCCTATTACTTTGTAGGGATTTGACTTTCAACCTCGCGAATAATACAACTCGCAAATAACGACACTGTTCTCGTGCACGCTTGAAGGTCGGTATTCGCAAGGCTGGCAGTAGCCATAAATCAATCCTTGTGAGCAGAAAGGGAACAATAGAGTAGTGCACATATTCTGCGAGGTGGGGGCGGGGGGGGGGGGGGGTACAAAGCTGTTCAAGGACGGCATACCCAGTCTAAGCCGAGGTTGCAGTGCCCTGGTACAATATAAGCTGTCGTCTCAAACCTCATTCGTGTGTGGCTAAAGCCCTGTTGCGGCTTGCATGCAGACTACAGCACATCATCACGTCTCAGTGGCGTGTCACTGCATGGCCTGTTGTGAAGGTCAATCTTCATGCTGCCATGCGGTCATCCTTCTATTTTTGTTTCTTCAGTTGCCTCACACATAGGGATCGAACATTCATGCAATAGGTTGACCAATCAGTTGTCTACTACAGCTAAAATGAAACAACAGAAGAAGATAAGCACACTGGACGACATCACACCGGTGCAGTCCGTGACAAGCAACCTAACCTACCATGATACTCATACCCGGACCCGATGGTCCTTCCGGCCGCAGTGTGACGGAGCGCATCGGTACCTGCGCAGAGTTCACGAACGAGCAAAATGTGCCAGTCACGGACAAATCAAGTGATGCCCGGAACTGTTCCATAGACTCACTTATAGCTTCACCCCAAAGCATACGTGAATGTCAGGACAGGACAGTTCATAACACAGGGGTGTCGGAATCAGTGCGGCAATGATCTAATCCTTTGAATTCTGGAGGAACGAAATACGGGCTACTTGGGTCCCCAAGTTTGCTAAATGTTTCCTGGGGGACGGCCCCGGGACCCTGCCTTTTCATTGTGGCACCATTGTAGAATACCGTCCGACGCCCCTGTAACACGAGTTGTGTCCAGCAGTGGTGTTACCGCCATTTCCCTGGGACCAGGGTGGCCCACACAGGATGCTGTCTTAACTTATTGCTAATGGCTGTGCAGAGAGGACCTTTGAATCGCTGTACCCACATGCAGACATCCACAAGTTGGATGCAGTGGGATAGAAACAGAGAAAAGGGTATTGTGGGTGGGCTTGATCAGTGCCGCCTAGATGAATCCAATGCCATCACGTAAGCCGTCATCTCCAAGCAATCTCTCATCCCAAAATTCCACATTGGTGGGGAATTGACATACTCCGGGCATGTATATGTACATGTAGTTGTACTCACCCTCTCTGGCATATCCTGAGAGACACCCGTGGCGGTATTAAAGGCTGAGCGTGGTGACGTGGGGCGGATCTGTGACACAGACACGCATGCATGCACACACACACACACACACACACACACACACACACACACACACACACACACACACACACACACACACACACACACATACATTGAACCTTGAACGATCATTGCCGTAGCAATGATAGCGATGGCTTCCTCATGCTGAGGCTCTAAACCCGAAATCTGCAGCATGGCGCACGGCGTTTGAGGTCACCAGGACAACGGAACACTCTGTCACAGCGGTAATTGGGGCACGGGATGTCTGGGGCTTCCTTCTCGACCCTCACACACATGCACACACACGCACACATACACACACACACACACACACACACACACACACACCAGACATAGCTGCGTAGAGTATGGGATGCCTCTAACTTATACAGACGTTTTCCTCATTGGGTGAGACGAACAAAGAGTTACGTCGCTTCACACACTCACTGACTGCCCCAGTCTGCTTTCAAACACTTTGATTGTCCGTGAAAGCCGGGTTAAGAGGCGAGTAAATGCCACCAGGATTGCAAACCTCTGGCTTCAAGCGATATTGATCATACCCCGAACTGTCCCATGTGTATACTAGTGGATTAGTACATGGAAGGACTGAGCAGACTTTCCCCACACCCTGGATCAGTGAGGGTGATGACGTTCCTACGGATGCGGGGGAAAAAAATGCCAGCCTGACTGGCTCCCGCATGAACCGACCACAAAGCGGTCTTCTACGAAAGGCGGCCATGATGTCGCCTCACATCCTCTCTATACAAGTACTTCAGGGGCGTCGGACACGGTACGGTCACACTACGGTATTGACCATACCACTTTTTGCCCCAGGTACCCCGCGAATCAATATACTACACTGATCTGGGATCTAAATTTCCAAAATGTTTGGCTCAGCCACCCCTCCCACACGAGTAAATTGTACTTCCGATGGCTGACCGTACCATCTTAATTTCTCTCGGCCGATAGTGCTGACAACACTGACCTTGCTTGCAGCAGTTTGTCGCTGACTGTCACCGATCGGCACGGCCGCACTTCTAGAGCGCACTTGCTCTTGCAAGATCAGCTCACGCTCCTTGACGACCGCTTTCACGGGCACGAGGTCATTGGACGCCTTGTCAAGTATAAACAGCATACCTGGGTGACGCGACTGTGGAAACAAACAAAAAACAGAACGGCACGGACAAATGTGTTGTTTAGCTGAAGGTTCAACTGCTAGTAGATCATCAGGAAAAGATGGGAGATGAGTGTGGCTTATACTTTGGTGTGTCTACATGGCAGACGTGCAGTGGAGTGTCCCAAACTACAGCCTTCATTATGTGTGCCTTGACACCTGTAAACTTGTTTCTTTTCATTTACAAAAAGAAAAACACACTGCGGTTGTCTTTTCTGAGCAAAAGGTTGCACATGCCTTGCTCCAAGTGTCTGACCAGTTGTTGGTGTGCAGTGGCTACACAAACAAGTACAAACACATGTCATGGAAGACCACCACCCTCATTAGGCGACCACCTGTCCAAGAGGACCACTACAACCAGGACCAAGGGGTGTTATTTCCAGTCAAATGACCCTGGATCAGGAGACCACCTATACATGGGGACCACATTCGTAAGGCCCCCCCCCCCCGAGCGGTCGGCTTTGACATGTTCCACTGTAAATACAATAGACCTGTAACAGCTAGTTAAATGCGACTGCCACCCCTCCATAAGCAGTACCAGTAGATCCATTGAACAGAGTCATATGATCGCTCTGATCAATCGCAATGCATGACGTCACTTGGGACGTGACCAGACTGCAATGCAATTCTACATTGTAGCTCATAGTATCCGGTGATCACTGATCAGCATGGATTAACCAGCATTGACGGTACTGACCACTCTACGTATACACCAGCCACACCGGTACCGGCATGTGCACTGTTCGGGTATGAAAGAAGCAGATGCACAAATACAAATATGTACTGTACCAGTGCACTGTGGACTTGTAACTGGGTGATGCACTTGTGTAAACACATGCCACATGTACATGTCCGTGAAACTACAAACGACCCAGGCAAATTGCTTTTATATGCAGACATGCCCCCCCCCCCCCCGCCCCATTTTGAACAATAAATTATTGTCGCTGGAGGAGTTACTTCTGCCCCGCCCCCACTTCCATCCAATATGCCACCGCCCCCGCTGTGCAGCATCTGATGGTTCTGTGGTATTCTGTAAAAAAAAACCGAGTGGTGGTAGAACTTTAACCTCTTTCTTTTCTAAAGGAAGTGATCTTGCTGCATGCTATGCACTGCTTGTTCTATGAAGGATGCAGACACCTTGCAGGCCATTATCACGGGCATTCCTGAAACTAATGATTTATCTTATTTTTGTAATTGCCTCCATGAGGTTCTCTTCCTGTGCAGTGTTCCCTAGTTACCCCAGGAAGGCTTCCTGTAGTCAACAGTTCCGGGTACAGTAGCTACATGTATAGGAATACTATCATGATTGAGAGACTAGTGCTGCGTGAACTCTTCATGTTGCTCACAATGCACACTTGATCAACTACCAGTACAGTGCATCTGCGGGTATTGAATTTGAAGGATGCAAAACTACTGCCACTGCTCATAGCGATGGCTGCATGCTAGTACTAGTACTAGCATACTGCATAGTGTTATTGGTTGTGCACATTCTGCCTCTGGCAGTCTGGTGCTGGGGTACATGCCTAGTGCATGTACCACTGGAGTGTTCCCAATGCAAGCAGTTTACTGCGCACGTGACGGTGGTCAAATTGACAGGGCTCAATTAGCACATTACCAGGAAGAGACGTGAAGTGCCAGAAGAAACATGGGACCGCAAGCGGACACAGTACAATCATTATTCCCAGCAGGCTCGCTTTGTGCCGGGCAAACCTTCACTTCACTCTTGCATCTTGGCATCTTGGTACAGTATGCAAAGAAGAGCTTCACTCGCATTGCGGTGTGTGGTGTGAATTGTGTGAATGGAGAGCACACGCACAGCGCACGGCGGCGCTTCTATCTGGAAATCGGGCACACGCACAGCACCCACAAGAGGCGCAACGCAGCTCTCAACTCTCCTCCTGATGCTATGCAGACTGTCAGGCTGATCTGCTTGGACCAGGTGTGGTTCATTCTGTCACTGAGGTGCATGGGTGTTTTCACATAACGTGAATTTGTATGGTGTGTGTGTGTGTGTGTGTGTGTGTTTGTTTGCAATGAATATTTGAAAACATACTGAACTGGATAGTTACACAAGGGTTCACATCACACCTGGCCCAGTGATGTGTTTCATATTTCGTGGAGTAGAAGATTGTCCTAACAAAAATGAGGAAAGAATACATGCCGCTGTGGGAACGAAGTCCATTTATTAGCACATCGTTGTAGTCTTGTGCGGTTTGGCACTGGAATAGGCTAGCTAGTTCGGTCAATACTAGAACTCGAATACATGCCAGCAGACACTCGTCTCAAAACCACCCTAGCAGCCATGTTATTGTGGTGGCATATTTGTTGACGGTAACGACTCCTGATTATGTAAAGGCCCGATATGCCTGCAACGCTACATAACGCCTGCTAGTATGGTTCGTAGTCGATGGGAGCGCTCCCTTTTCGCAAAGAATCTTCCACGTAGTAGATCTACATGTTGTGTTCCGCGATATTCACGAGTAGTCTCCCTTGTCGATCGATCATGAGACATGTCGTTGCGAAATTTGAGTTCCTAGCACATGGTCCTGGATATCAATTATTATCAGCAACGTTCAAGCGCAGCTGAGCACGAAATTGATATCATTGCAACATTGCGTTCCAGACAAAGCCAGAGGCCAGACCTCGCCGTACATCTACGTAAATCGCCTGCTTGACTGGGTCTTTCAAAGTTTCAATCAACATTCAATGAGGCTTACCTGTTTCGCCATCCTTTTTGCAGGGCACTTCAGTAGCGGCCTTGCCGCCGGTAGCAAACTAGTAGTAGTACTCGCTGGCCAGTAGGAGCTCCTGTTGAGTGTTGGTTAGGAATGCTGTACTACTGGGCTAACTGGACCAATGTGCACAACGGGTGGGCAGCTGAGAGTGAGAGGTATACCGTATAGTAAAGACGCCCGAGACGGACTGGGGCTGAAGCAGCGCACACACCTCTCAACCGCGATGCGTGGAGCCGGAGAGCTGCATTCTTCATGCACTGCCGCACGCGGAGCTTACTCCAGGTTGGTGTTGGTCGTTTTCTCCCCAGTTTCGCCGGTTGATGTAGCAACTCCTACTAGTCCTACAATTCTGCTGGCATGGCAGGCAAGCTGACTTCAACCGGTAAACAATTATATATTTCCAATGCTCAATAGGATTATTGTTACCGAAAACTGACTATAAAGTACATAATTGTACACAATCAAAGTCTGATCTGACATGTAAAAAATTAATAATATTCGTCATACTTGGACACAGTATACGAGTACATGTGCATGACTTTGTACATGTAGATCTACCACATGCACACTCCTACTACCGCCGCACAGGTACATAATATTTAAAAAAAAAAAGAAAAAGTACAGAGCATGATCACGACGAACCCTTTTTTCCTGAATAATAAACTAACTTTTCAGAGTTTGATGCATTATTATCATGAATTGCGGTCTTTGTCAGGGAGTCGAGTAGCATCTGGGGGGGGGGACGTGAAACGACCAATGGGGTTCGATCCCGGGCTCCCTGCTCGATCCAGTTGCCCTTTCAGGGGCGTCGGAACCGGTGCGGCAGGTGCGGCCAAAGCCGCACCAATAATTTTGGAAGTTTTTTTTTTTTTTACATTTTCAACCTTGTTGATGGCATGTCGACTCTTGTACAGATACCATGTTTTACATCGACAATGCGGTGTGTCATCAGCATGCATATTCTTATTTCTCATATTATTCTGTAGCATTAAAATATGGCCTTTTAGGCCCAATTTTCAAAAATAAAATCCCGGGGGAGGACCCCCGGACCCCCTCTCACACTTTCGCCGCACCAATGTTAAACTGCTTCCGACGCCCCTGCCTTTGCCGGAGGGTAGGGCCGACTCACTCCCGCATGCTCGTCGCACACATGGCTCATGGCTGGCTTGGGCCGCATTCAGGCTATGAGCTCGACTTTCAGCAGTATTGTAGTATCCCTGCTTTACAGTTACGCATGACTAGTACTTTGCATGACTCTTATAATTACTCTTGTTACTACTTTCGGACAAGTCCTACATCATGTACCTCACATATGATTTGATTACATCAGCATGATCAGGAGTACCGTGCTTCTAGAAGATCATAGATCTTCCATGCATGCTGCTGTCATCACTTCTATTCTAGTATCACTTCCTTTTAGTTACTAGTTGGTACAGTCATGACTCATGTACATGACTTGTATGTCATGTTGTTCCGGACTATTCCAGACTTCCCACGTCATATGCCCGATGAGTAATGTTGCTGACTAAATTGCATAATATAGATATCTCATCTTCTAGAATACCTCGCTTAGTCATTATGTTAATATTACGCAATGCTCACTTCATCTACCTGTATAGCAATGATGATCTAGGTTTACTTCTCCACTATTCTAGAACTTGTACTAGAAGGATGATTTCGTAATCACTGCAATGGCTTACTAACCTTACTTTCCTACCGCCGCCTGCTTTGCTATACATACTTTGCTTGCCTATAAAAGCTGCTGTCTTTTCTGCCACCATCAGATTAGCTCAGATTAGAGCTGAGCTGAGAGAGAGAGAGCAAGTTCACTTTCACTTTGATATAAGATAACCTCCAGGCCGTGCCGGAGTAAGTTCTGATACGTTACTGTAGTTGACTGACTGTGGGTAGTAGCCTCCTAGCCTCGCCGACGCACGTTACATTGGTGGCAGCGGTGGGATTGCCTTAGATCACGCACGTTACATTGATGGCAGCGGTGGTTCAATTTTATAATTGCTAGATTCGAACCCACCTAGTATCTGTACTGCAATGATGGCAGCCGCACTACAGAATTGATGGCAGCGGTAAATTGGTACCAGCATGGCCCAACCCGATGCGTCAGTTGCCGCTACTCCTTCGCCCGCCATGTCTCCCCCTAGCCTGAAACGATGACGGACAGCGTCTCTACCGATCAAGCTCCATGTCCAATGTAAGCTGATTCCAGGTATGGCATTCTCTTTCCTGTCTTCCTTCAGTCTTTCTATTCTCTTCAGTCTTCCTTTATGCGAGTGAGTGAATCCAGTTTAGTCCGGTAGGCGTCCGATCATGGTGAGCCACGGTCTACCTAGCTAACCTGGGACAATGTGTGTGAGAATGCCCTTGTGTACTCAGTTCGGCTTGGTACTGCGATTTGGCTGGCAGGTTGTGCCAGGGTTGTGCAGCAAGTGAACTGTGGTTTTCGGTCCTGTTTGGAGGACAATATTCCCTTTTTGACCCCGTGAGATAGTGAGAACCTGGTGTGCTTCTATTTTTTGATTTGTTATCAGTTCAGTTCTTCTGTCTACTCTAAAAACGTTATCATTTCCGATATTATTTGCCATATCCCGGTTGACGCTCTACAAGTAATACGCTATCTACTATGACGTTCACACCGCCTCCTATGATCTGCTGCTGAGCTCGAGCTACTACTACTACTACTACTAGTGTCATTTGTCACCCTTTCGTCCGAATATCAAGCACTCTGTTCAAGATTCAAGAATACGTGTACGTGAATGCAAGTTAGTTGTCCAGTCCACCTACTGACGGTGCCTTCTAGTTCTAGTGAGTACTGTTCATCATACATGTACATCATAGAACTCTCTGTCAAATCACGAGGGCGTGATTTAGTGTAGGAAGGGAGGGTGTAGTATCCCTGCTTTACAGTTACGCATGACTAGTACTTTGCATGACTCTTATAATTACTCTTGTTACTACTTTCGGACAAGTCCTACATCATGTACCTCACATATGATTTGATTACATCAGCATGATCAGGAGTACCGTGCTTCTAGAAGATCATAGATCTTCCATGCATGCTGCTGTCATCACTTCTATTCTAGTATCACTTCCTTTTAGTTACTAGTTGGTACAGTCATGACTCATGTACATGACTTGTATGTCATGTTGTTCCGGACTATTCCAGACTTCCCACGTCATATGCCCGATGAGTAATGTTGCTGACTAAATTGCATAATATAGATATCTCATCTTCTAGAATACCTCGCTTAGTCATTATGTTAATATTACGCAATGCTCACTTCATCTACCTGTATAGCAATGATGATCTAGGTTTACTTCTCCACTATTCTAGAACTTGTACTAGAAGGATGATTTCGTAATCACTGCAATGGCTTACTAACCTTACTTTCCTACCGCCGCCTGCTTTGCTATACATACTTTGCTTGCCTATAAAAGCTGCTGTCTTTTCTGCCACCATCAGATTAGCTCAGATTAGAGCTGAGCTGAGAGAGAGAGAGCAAGTTCACTTTCACTTTGATATAAGATAACCTCCAGGCCGTGCCGGAGTAAGTTCTGATACGTTACTGTAGTTGACTGACTGTGGGTAGTAGCCTCCTAGCCTCGCCGACGCACGTTACATTGGTGGCAGCGGTGGGATTGCCTTAGATCACGCACGTTACAGTATCAGAACGCGGTTGAAACACACGTCATCGTTCAGTCGGGTGCTGTCCATGGTCACGTGTTGCTTGCCTACATGTACATGTAGTTTCAAGCAGGGAGTAGTACAATAATACTTGCCAACCCTACCGGAATTTCCGGGAAAATCCAGGAAAACTCGCTTTCGTCCGGGCATACCGGAAAAGTTATAACATCTACCGGATTTTCGAAAAATGTCCCTCAGCACCTATTTTGTTGATTTTCAGTTCTTCAACGCTCACGAGCATAGCAGCTACTTCGAAGTACAAGTGCTGTGCCCACAACGAAGCTCTATAGCGAGCAAGAACTGTAGAGTTAGCGCTTTTACTAGTCCGTTTTGTCGTACATGCTGTAATTTTTGCGAATGCTTGTGCAGATCAAGGAAAAATGGGCAAAATCAAGGAAAACCTCATCGGTGTCAAGGAAACTGTTTGCCAGGGGTTGGCAAGTATGACAATAAGCGTTGTACTACTCCCTGGTAGCTACGACTCCGTGACCCGAGGCATGTACTGAGTATGACGCAGTACATGCAGTTGCCCGCCTTGCCTTGACTTGCTGTATGTATTGCCTCGGCTATTACATAGCATGCTGCAAGACTAGTAGTACCAGTCATGACAGTTCATGACACTACTTTGACGGGTCTTGAGTCGTTTGAGAAATATGCAACGCTCTGCTCCGTAGTTACCGATGCTGGACGCACGGGTACAACACGCAGGTGATGAGGACCATGCAGTGGAATATCAGCTCTGGAGCAGCGTTGACTCTGACCGCAACAGCTTCTGTGCTGGCACTAGTTGCACATGTTTGCACATGCATGCATAATTATAGCTATTACTACTGTGATGTCACGTGTGTACAGCACATGCAATGCAGTGGTCACATGTGCCCACAAGCAAAGCAGTGGTAGGAAAAAAAACGACCCAGCCTGGTATGTGCTCATTATTCCTCACCTGTCAAAAAATGCACCGCAGTGTTCATATTTGGGAGAATTCCATTCTTCAACTTTCCAGTTCTTTGGCGCGAGAGGCCACTGTCCGGCTTCATTATGTTACTGCTTGGCATGTTGGTACATGATCTTGGCACCTGTACTGTCATCTCTGTTGTGCTGGTGTGGGAGTACATGCGTATGAACATAGTTTTCCACTGGATGCACAAGGCATGTACATGTGGGTATACATGTACAATGTGCAGTACATCATACATGTACATTGTACAATCATGTACAACTACCCTACCAGTTATTTCAGTCATTTCCGAAACACATCGTCCAGTAAGTCATCGAGTGTGGCAACAGGTGCATCCCAAACTATAACTATATTAAAGATGCGTTTGAGTCGGAGAGCACAAGTGAACGCACTACAGTAGAGTCGCGCGCTGAAGAACATGGAGCCCAAGAACGTCCAGCCTGAAATTCTAAGAACGCCACAGCCTAAAGCTAAGAACGGCGGTGTTGGCTTTCTGGCAGCTTGTGGGATGCATATGATCCAGTACGGATTGTTTCTAAGAACGTGCTATAAGAACGCAGCCAGATTGCTGAGAAATAAGAACGTCCCAGGTTAACTTCCCCTTTAACCCCTTGGAAACAACGTTCTTGGGCGCGTGACTCTACTACGGTCTGTAGCTCATAACAGCACAATGCACCCAGGTGCCTCTTCTCGTTGCATAACGTTAATACCCCCCCCTTGTTGGCAAGAGGTACATCATGTGCATGATGCTTTGGTACTTGGTAGTCAGTAGAAAACATCCCGAAACGTGGTGCTGGGTGTTCAATCCCACATCACTCATCAGTACATGTACTGGGTCTGGGTTCTTGATACTCAGTAGTACCAAGAGTAGGCTCTACATGACGAAACAGTTCTGTCCGCAGATTGAGTAATACTAAATTATTGTAGTTATACTCTTGATACCAGTCACATAGAAAGCACTCGTCAATACAACTAACTACATGACTTGCAAGGAATAAACTGACAGTCTGTTGTTTGCCCAATATCAGTCTATGCACATTTGATCCACTAATAATTATGGCATTATCGTCAGTGTTCGCCCAGGGACAGACTCAATGTACCAGCACATGCACTACTCTGGTACATGTATGAATATGTACTATGGCTAGGACCATGGATAAGCCCGCTTTTCACTTCGAGCTAAGAAAATAACTGTCTGAAATGCGACAACAATAGGAACACAGACCCAGAGGTTTGCTTCGGCATCGCTGCATTCGCAAGACTATAAGTGACAAACCTGCCCCAGACTTTCAGTAATCCAGAACTGTTGTAACAGCAGTTGGATCAATGGCAGAAAGTTCCAGACAAATCCATGCATGTTTGTACAAAGCAGCAAAAAGCAAAATCCTGCAAATGTTTAAGTGTGCTGTACACTGCGTCCCATGCTACACAAGACACTCCTTGTTTTGAATTGTACGAACGCCGCATCTCTGTGGAGATGGATGTGTTGATGTACACAGAGCAAAAATGCACAGAAGCTCAATTTTGAATAAATCCAAAGAGATAAATGCGTGTGGCATAAGGAAGAAAGGACACTGAAGTTCCTACTCTACCAGCACAGAGGTCAACCAGAAGCTATAACAGTTTACTTGGTTGGAAATGCAAGAAAGGGGTGAAGCAAAATCACAAGCTCAGCAATTCAGATACACGAACTAATACTTTTCATACAACAAAGTAAAGAAGATAAAACAAACATTACATAATATGCTCTAAGCACTCGAATGGGTTAACTCCTAGTTTATGTAAAGAGAGACAGTTCACTGGTTTGCTCCTCATGCATAAACGCCTATGCAGCACCAGGGCGGCACCAGTGCCCTTCTAAGTTAGATCTGCGCTTCACACACTGGCGGATGCAATCAAACCAATGACTGCCCTGTAAAGCAAGTATGGGGTGTTCCTATTTACTGTTGGTCAGCATCCGCATCCTGGTCCTCTGTGGCAGTGTCTGACGTCCATAGCTGAAAGCACAAAAGTAGACACAAGAGAACATTGTTAGTCGAAAGCGACTGAAATTATGGAATGACGCACAAAAAAAAGAGAGTAAACGCTAGACAGGAAGTCGCACACGCACCTCTGCACATTCCCAACACCACAGACAAATGCCGGCAAACAAGCAAAACACAAAAAAAACGCAAGGATGTAAAGCCAAACTTACAGTCAGGTTATCACGCAGAAGCTGCATAATGAGAGTGCTATCCTTGTAAGACTCCTCGTTTAGTGTGTCGAGTTCTGCGATGGCATCATCAAACGCCTGCGAAACATACAAAAAAGCACACATCAGGCTATCATAACAGAAGCAAGATACCGTATTTTCTCTAATAATAGCGCAGGTTGATTGAAAATAAATAAAGGCGCAGTCTCTAATAGTAGCGCAGGTCACAATTGGAGTATGCAACGAGTATATCGACTGCATATAAAACAGCAGTACAACATGCCAAGAACATATTTGTAAGGAGGTTTTCGGTCTACTGCTTCGTTCCTGGCACCAATGATGTGAAACATCTGTTTTGACAATATTCCAGAGTTTAGGGTTGAAAAATCAGTGTTGATATGGTCAGTTTATGCCTGTATAGACTGGAGTTGGCTTGATAGTTGACAATGGAAAAATAAGAGCCCAGTCTCTAATAATAGCGTGGGTAGAGCTGTCCCTGAAAAAATAAGAACCCCGGGCTCTTATTAGAGAAAATACGGTATCAGTTTTTGCACTGCAATGATCGATAAAATATTTACTAGTAATTGGATGAAATTGCAATGTCACCATAAACTGATGGGCGTGGTTCAATATTAACTGGGGCGGAGTACAGTCAAGTGCAAAACTATTTTTTTCGATTCGTGCAAGTCACGCACTCTAATACGAAGTATTTGATTTGGGTGCACATATTAATTTAATATCAAAATGAAATCAAACTGCACAAAGAAATGTTGCATACCTGCTTGGCCAGATGGCAAGCCTTCTCCGGTGAATTGAGGATTTCATAGAAGAATACGGAGAAGTTGAGTGCAAGTCCCAAGCGGATGGGGTGAGTTGGCTGCATACCGGTCTTTGCAATGTCGAAAGCTTCCTGGTAGGATTCTTGCGAGTCTCCGACGATTGCTTGAAAAAGGGAAAAGCATAAGGGTAGAAGTTACTGAGTAGTTATACAAAATTATGAACACACTGGTGTCGCCGAGAACTTGACGTTAGGCGCCGTCTGCGCCGGTTTCACACGCGCATTGAATTAATCGTTAATACTACTCCAAGAGCGAAAATTACACTACGATCAGCTAGGGGTCAATAGGAAACTAGTATGTGGATCGCACACCTTGCAGTGCCAACAAGAACTGGTATTATAATTTTAATATCAGTGAGAACCACAGCTGAAGTGTAAAATAATGAAAACTCACCATCGCGGTCCGCTCCAGTTGCAACCTCAGCCAAGTAGCGGTGGTAGTCTCCCTTCATTTTTAAGTAGAATACCTTAGACTCCTCGGTTTTAGAGTTGACGATGAGGTGATCCTTCAAGAGGACCTACAGGAGAAAAGGAACCAAGTATCCAAGTCAGCTCCAGGCGTAATTCTACAACCCACTAAAATGTAATGTATATTCCCCTACCAGTACTTCAGAGCAAATGTCCTGAAGTTCCTTCTCGATTTTCTCGCGGTATTCCTTTGAAAGTGCGAGCTTCTTATCCGAACCCTCGGCCTTCTGCTCAATACTAGAGATAACTCTCCATGATGAACGGCGTGCACCTACGACATTCTTGTAAGCTACACTAAGAAGATTGCGCTCCTCACTGGAGAGCTCGGCCTTGCCATTCTCCGTCACCGCTTTCATTGCTGCGGCCATGTCATCATAACGCTCAGCCTGTTCTGCGAGCTTGGCTTTCTGTACTTCCATATCCTTGTCGGCCATTGTAATAGAATTCAAAGCAGTGAGGTTCTGCAAAGCGACTAGAAAATGAACTGAATCACAAGCAAGAACTGTTTCTCTTGAAATAAAAGCGAAGAGGAGAATGATGCAGAGTGTACCAACCTGCAATGCAGTCACCTGGTCACGAGCGGATCGAATAATCTGACCAATCAGAGGTCGACCTGCATATCTGTCTCCAAATAAGGAACGGAAAAAGAAAACGAGTTTTTTTGGAATAAGCTTGATTTTGCGTTGCTTGTAAATCGCTTGATTACAAAATCAGTCAGGTCATCCAGCTAACACTTTCGCCTTTGAAAGCTTCCCTGGATGTGGCCGAATATGCGATTTTCATAAGTTACGCAATCACCAAGGGAACGAGCGATACAGTGCGCAGCTAGCGCGCCCGGGCCCGGCCCCAAACTACAACACACGACTAGACCGCGACCTCGTAGTTTTGTCGCTCGATCGAGTCATGACTTCTGCAGTTGTGTGATGAAAACAGGAGCAAACTGCACCTTCGCGTGCTGAAATTTTTGATTGGTTGCAGACAAGAAGAAATGGCAGCTGTTTTTAGACATCTCCAGGGCTTGGTAAGCTCTTCATCTCTAGTAGTGCGTCTAGTGGAAGGTATAGTAATTATTGGCTTCTTGTTTACAGGCCCGGGCCACTCGGTCACCCATTGCAGCTAGCCGCGGTTTGGTTACTCAAAGGCAGTATGCCACCAGCGGTGAAACCAACGTAAGTAAAAAAAATTCAGAACTATCTTGTCAATAGCTCCTCTGGTTTTAACTGCAACTGGTTATGATACTGAAGTATAAAATAAACCATCTGGGTGGAAGGGAGGCTACGAGTAACAGTCACATCACCTTGTTGAAGTGATAAATCGTGTACTCGTGGGTCTTCTGTTATTCATTGACAACAGTTACTATGGATTGTATCAAGAGTACATAAACCAGAGTGTGCAACTCGGGATGGTTCCTGTGGGAGCGTAATTCGTGCACTACGTCATTTCTGACGGCATGAGAGAGGTTCCGCATAACGTAATTACGTTAGTAAAAAACGTAGTCGATCTACGGCTTACGTAAGCTGCATGCGCATCTGGGTTCCGCCATACGGAGTTTTCAAATCACGTAGCTGCCCTTGGCAACTCCGAACGCGGCAGTGTACGACCAGATCGACCTGGGGAGAGCGTCATAAATTTGTACCCCAATCCACTTACGGACCAGCTACGTTATCAGAGCCCTATCTACGTACTCTCCGTAGACAACTTTCCGTAAGTGGAGTGCAAACTCGCGAATTCACAGGTTTTTCCCGTCCACTAACGTAAAGTTGCTCAACTTTACGTAGTGCGGAACCTCTCTATGGTAAGCCACAGGTACGGTGAAAAGTTGCGTCACCAGTTGCGGTGGTGCAGTTCACTGAGTTTGTCCTGATTTCGGTTTTTTGAGACGGATAGCCTGGTGACTTTACTTCTCGGTGGCTGTACGCAGCGTACACAGTCGCACAAAACACCGAAATCCTGAAACAGGACGTCTAAAATCAAGCAAACTTGGCTGATTTCCGGGTTATGAAACATGAAAATTTGAGCTGTACGCAAGTCGCGGCTTGGCTGACCTCATCAGGGTGACGTAGTGCACGAACTGCGCTGTTTCAGATCAGATATGCACAGTTGCACACTCTGGTTTATGTACTCTTGATTTTATGCATGTACGTACATGTAATATTATTATTATTACTAGTACTAGTAGGTCCATTCCCTGCTGGGTGTAATCTATGGAACATTGCTAGTAGAGTGGTCTTTAATAATTGTTCTTAAGAAACATGAAGCTGCTGAACGTACCTCTACGGACCGTAACAAATCAGTACCGTATTTCATTGAACACCTGTCGCCCCTTGATTACCAGCCCCCCTTGAATAAGCACCGCCAGTTTCTTTGAACTGAGGGTTTTTTGTACACAAGTGCAGAGCAGGGCACAGTTTAAACGCAATTTCACAGCTACCAGATGACCTTCCGCTACGATGTCATGCTCCTTCATATGCAACTAGTGTTGGTCTCGCGCCAGACAAAGGACTCAAAGGCGATCTAAAGAAGGAAACAAGTTGAGCACGCCATGATGATGACCTCTCACAACATAACGAAGAGCAAGACGAGTAATTTTATCGACCGCCAAAATATATATATGTATTACGTGAAGAAAGTAAACGAATGAAAGTTCAAACTTAAGACGCACTAAGGGCGCGTTCAGACTACCGTGAATCCCGTCAAACCGTGAATGGCGATAAACCGTGAAGGACATTCGCACCGCCGATAAACTAACGTTACCGGTACGTAAGTTTTGCAGCTCCCACCGCGGCACTGAGAAGGGATTTTCCCTTTTTCCCAGCCTGAACACTCTTTTTACCGCCGGAAAAGTTTTACTGCCGCGGCAGTAAAACTTTTCCGCCCGTAACGTGCCAGTAACGTCACGTGATCAAATCACCTTGGAAACTTTCCCAATCGGTCACTTTTTATCGGTAGTCTGAACGCACCCTAAGGAGTGTCAAATCTACGAAACCAAGAACTCAGATCAGAGAACTTGTCTAGGAGAAAGCGGACACCGACGCTGTGAAAGGAACAAACGCAGAAAGAGAAATCAAACGACAGAGAACAAAAGCGTCCTTTTATTGCATCCAAAACTTTCAGCGTCGACGTATTCTTGAAGCTCCTCCGCTTCATCCCCCTCGCTATGACGGACTGCTGCTGCTTGACACGCACCGAACTTGCTAGTCGAGCCTCAAGCTCCCTCGCCATGATATTCTTTCCAGTTCAACACGAAAAGAAAGGAAGATGCACTAGCCTACAGTGTAGCTGGACAACAAAGGTTCAACAGTGCGCATCGTACGTGAACTCTACGCATACAGCACGTACATTGTGACGTACAACTTTTTTTTCAGGGCCGCACCCGTTTTGCTAGTTTTGAAATTTGAATACAGGCCGTGGCGGCTGTTCAAGGAAATACGGCATCTTATAGTCAGTGATGTGTACTCTATATCCAGGTCAAATGACCAGAAAAGGATACCCGGGGTCCTCAAAGAGTGCTTTATATCCGTTGCAGCAGAGTGAAAAGTACGTCATATCCAGGGTATTCACTGCAAAGTAGTTGAGGGTGATGAAAAGGGAGAAAAAAAACTGAAGAAAAATTGGCAGAAAACTGTACTGTACTTTATACTGAAATTTCACTGATTTTTCATTCTTGTTCCCGCTGCACACCAACGGAAACTTTGAAGCGATCCAGTAAGACGTGTACAGTACTGTGCTTCTCATTGAAGCCCGATTGCGTGAACATGAGCTGCGCCCTGCGCCTGTTCGCCTCTCGGTATTCGCAGGCCTAGGGCTGCGCGGCGCATGGCGTGGCATTAGCCCTCTTGATTGGATTTCATTGAGCAGCTGTGCACATTGTAACACAATTGACCTTGTTCAATGCTATTTTAGCACGGATAATGGAAGCAAGTTGCCAACAAAAAGTAAAAAGGACCAAGGAACTACAAGTTACACTATAATGTCCACTAACACCACCAGTTACTAAACAATGAGCTCATGCGATAGCATTGCACGACACTGACCGACGGTACTGACGTTCTACAACTAACTGGCTAACAGCTCTAGCACATCTTGGATGCTTGGTCCTTTTTACTTTTTATAAATAATCCTTGGCTCTCCATCCGAGTTCAAAGTTGCCAACACATAGGAAATTTGGCTGCAGCAGGAAAAGCTGAGACTTTGAGGCCTGCAGAATCAAACACAAGAGTAGCCATTCCCGCTTGCTTTGTGCACCGGTGCTATAAGAGCTATTAAGAAGGCCGGTGAGTGGCGAGGTGATGCTAAATCAATCGCCCATGGTAACGTCTCAGGCGCGTGCTCGGCGATGGGCACGGGGGGCACGTGCACCCCCCACAAAATTTCAATCTGGGTAATTGCAATTGTAATGTATGCAAATATGCTCTAAAATTCAAGAAAGGTTGCAAACAAATTGCAGAAAATTGCCGGGGGGGGGGGCTCCCCTCGGCTCCCGTGCACCCCCCTAGTTGGGGGGCCGAGCACGCCCCTGCATCTACTCGTCCGTTCTTGTGCATCAGGTCGTCCAACGTGTAGAGTAAAACTGTCTAAAGCCGACTGCTCAAGGGACCTTACCAATGTGGTCCCCGTGTACAGGTGGTTTTTTTTTTATCCAGTGCCGTTTGACTGGAAATGGCATCCCTTGCTTCTGGTTGTAGTGGTCCCCTCTTTGCCGGGTGGTTGCCTTATCAGAGTGGTCGCCTTGACAGGTTTTACTGTACATTGGTGCACGAACCAACAGTACGGATGCCAACAACTGCAACAAGCCGCGTGTGGACCAGAAGCGCATGTCGCATCTTTCTTTTTTATTGCTACGCACAGTGCATGCTACACCTGAGTCAGTGAAGATCGCGGGCCCCTTTGGCGCTTCGCATATGCGAAATACCACATCTCCCCAATTTTTAGAGACCTGTTCCTAAATTGTTCCAATTCAACTTCTCCGAGAAGCTAGACAAAATTCGAAAACACCCTTTATGATAGTGGAGATAAATGTGGAAATCCTGGTAATACCGTATTATCTCTAATATAAGCACAGTCTCCAATAATAGCACGTCTCCAATAATAGAACACCTTGGGGCGGCATTCAAAAATAAAGTGCTCAGTCTCCATTATAAGCACACTGTGTAAATTCATTATCTGTACCGGCAAAAAAACCCTGAAATGTGTGTCTGACATGAACTTGGCATGGCAACATGCCTCTGAAATGAGGTTGAAATAATAATGGAACAGTCTCCAATAAAGGAACGTCTCCATTAATAGCACGGGGCGGAGGTACATTGAAAAAATAAAGGACCGTGCTTATATTAGAGATAATACGGTATTCAATTTTTAAGCATGCAGGTAGTGTGTGCGTATGTGTGTGTGCGTGCGTGCGCCCGTGTATGTGTGTGCGTGCGTGTGTGTGTTTAAATTGTTTGCTGTTGTTGGTGGTGTCAAGATGTACCGGGCTGTGGCCACACACTGTAGGCCAAACTCCTCTTACATGGAGTGTTGCTTGGTATTAGAGAGGTTAAGATGCACGTTATTTCCGACGTAACGCGAAAGTTCAGCTCGCGTTATTTGCTCGCACGTCGAAAAATCAACGCGAGCGACCTGCTGCTCACGTCGAAATTTGGAGTTTTACGCCAAGTCCGACGTGAAATTGCGCGTCACGTCGGAAATAACGTGCATCTTAACCTCTCTATTGTCTCTGTCTGACGTAGGATGGTATGATTTGTGCATTGCATGTGGTATGCAGGAGAAAGGCTACAAGGTGATTGATCACACGTATGACGCCGTCGTTGTCGGTGCTGGTGGTGCCGGTCTCCGCGCAGCTTTCGGCCTGGCAGAGGAAGGCTTCCGCACTGCCATCATCACCAAGCTCTTCCCCACGCGCTCTCACACGGTTGCAGCTCAGGTTAGACAATCAGTATTGTCATGCTCGTTTTGACTGGAGTCGCCTTTTGTGAAGCAGACATGTGTCTCTGCAACATCCCATTCCAAAGCACGTACTTTTCTCTATTGTGATCAGGCAGTTAATTGTACAATTTTTTCTCGATTACATAGGGTGGAATCAATGCTGCTCTTGGAAACATGGAGTCTGATGACTGGAGATGGCATATGTGAGTTTGGTGTGTATCTCTGTGTCTCTCTCTCTCTGTCTCCCTCTGTGATATGTCTACAAGAAGAATGAAGGTGTTATAAACAAATCTGAAGAGAAGGAAAACACAACTGAAGAGGCAAAGCACATGAAACACGGAAGTATCTCCCAAGCCAAGCAAGCATGCCGCTATCATGGTTATGGTGCAAGGTCATACAACTGTGGTAGAAATCTAGTACGGGAGTACATGAACTACAGGTCACATATCGATGATATGGCATGGGGGAATAAGCCTTTTGCGCTATTTCCACTAAGAAATGGGCCCTGAAGGCATTTCAAACGAAAGCCTTTTCTGACAAAGATCTAGCTAGTCATTAGTTCTAACCAAAGTGAAGAAGCTGGAAAAGGGATGGTTTGCCATCAATTATGGGGCTAAAATTGGTCAAATGCGCATGCATAGCACACTATGAACACCCAACCGGGTCTGTACACACCTACCGCCCTAGTACTGAACTTCGTACATCTGTACAACGCGCAAAAGGTCTATCCATATACATCACGCCCCTTCGAGATAATGCTGAGAAAACAAATCCAGTATTATCTATCATATCCACACAACAACAAGAAAAGTACAAGTATGGCAAGCAACGGCCCATAGCACACGGCGAAACAGACATTGCATGCCACACAAGGATACAAAAAGATACTATATAAGAATAATCCTCAAGAACATGTACACGATGTGTCCAGAACAAATCAAGATGCATAAGACTGTCCACGGGTGGAGGAAATGTTCAAACGAGAGGGTGGTTGGCGTGCTCGTGTGCTGCGACGCAGAGGGGGAGGCGTAGCAGGAGCAACGGCAACAGACGGCTGTGGTGAGACACATGGTGCTGGTGACGGCACAGCCGGAGAAAACAGCGATTTCTCCAATAAACTCGTCCACTGGCCAGCTTGACGAAATAGTGCATCCAAATCACGCTGACAAGCGGGAAAACCATGCAGAACGCACTGCACGAGAGACTGATATACAGGATCAGCTGAGGCGGCGGCTCGAAGTTCAGCAAACTTCAGGTTGGGGTGAGGACCATCATCACGGAGCATGCAGACGCGGATGATGCGGCAATGAAGAGCAGGGGCTTCGCCGAGTTCATCATCTGAAGACGGGATTGCGAGATAGCGCATCAGCAAATGCATGATCGGAGCCTTTTCGTCAGGAAGCGTGGACTTGATATGACTGCAGCTTCAGGCGAAGACGGAGAAGGCGAGGATTCTCGATTTGGTCCAGAGAAAACGAGTTGATAATAGGGATCAACGGACGGTGATCAGTAATGAGATCAAACAGGGTGCTGGATAAGTACAACTTGCACTTGTGTACGGCCCAAACGACGGCGAGCATCTCGAGCTCAACAACAGCACAGCGAGATTCGGCATCAGATAGATAGCGGGAGCCACACAGGATGATGTGCCACTTATCGTCCTGCTTCTGCCACAGAACGAAGCTGAGACCAAGCAATGCGGAGGCATCAGTCTCCAGACGGAGGTCGTGTCCATGCTGGTAGAAGGCCAGGATAGGAGGAGACAGCAGAGTAGACTTGGTCTTCTCGAACGCAACAGTGTGGATAGCATCCCAGACAAATTCACGGGTCGTCTTCAACAGGCCGCCTCCTTCGCCCGGCAAGTTGTAACCGCATCATTCAGGGTCAAATCCTTGGCGGACAATAACTGGTGCCGGGTAGAGTCGTCGCTAACTCCGATGGCAATCCTGTCACACAGGCTGTCAGCACGCACACATGTCAGGCTCGTACGACAGGTACTACACGTGTGTGCTGAACATTGCGAGCACAAAACAACGTCTGGAAAATCACAGCTAGTGTGCAATTCTTTCAACGACGTGTAGAAAGAATCGAAGTACTCGCCTTTCGATTGACACCTATCGTAAAATGTGATACGGTCCAGGAGTGGGTTGCACTGCCTTCGCAAATAGTCCTTGACTGCAGTAATTACATCGTCCGCATCGGGATTCGGTGGAGTCACGATAATACCCTCGCGGAGAAATCTGCGTACCTCCTCATCTAGAGCTTGCCGTAGCGAGGACACTCTGGTCTCACGGCTCTGGGCTGACAGGTGCTGGCACTCGTAATTATCTCGCCACATTTCCTGCAATGCCGTGAAGTCGGCTAATGTCGAGGATGACAGTAAAATCGGTCGTTCCGCAGAGACAGGCTTTGGAGCTGGTGATGTGGTGCTGGGTTGCACGGTGTGTTGTGTTGGTGGTGTTAGTCCTTGTATAGTTTGTTGGAACAGGTCAGCCATTTTACGTTCCCTCTCCTCCGGGGACTTCATTTGTGCCGCAAACATCGTGGTCAGGGCAGCAATGTCAGGAGCAGGTTCTGATTTGGACATCGTGGTCTCAACCTACGCAAATACTGGTACACTGTATCACGAACAAACTACAAAAATTTCGGCCCGTGCGCAACACAACGAGGTGCAAACACAAAGCACGAACAAACTAATCACACAGACGAGTTCTACAAGGAACGAACAGTTCACTGCGCCATATGTCTACAAGAAGACTAAAGATATTATAAACAAATCTGAAGAGAAGGAAAACACAACTGAAGACTGAAGAGGCAAAGCACATGAAGCACGGAAGTATATCCCAAGCCAAGCAAGCATGCCGCTATCATAGTTACACACACACACACACACACAGAGGCTCACTCTCTTTCTCACAGTATTTGCATGCATTGACATGTAGAGCAACATCCCATGTGTACACGGATTCCCTTGGCGGTGTGTGTGTCTGTGTATGTGTGTGTGTGTGTGTGTGTGTGGTCGTCTTGTTGCAGGTACGACACAGTAAAGGGCAGTGACTGGCTTGGTGACCAGGATGCCATTCATTACATGACCCGTGAAGCACCGCAGGCTGTTGTGGAGGTATGTGCAATCCACGCTTGCATTGTATATTCACGAGTTGTTACAGTTCCTAGTTTGGAGGGATGTGTAGCTTCTGCATTTCCAGATTCGTGAAAGAGCTGTGCGTCTATAGTATGGAACACCTGGTGTGGACACAGCATCCTCAGATCTATGCAACTTGTGATCAATCTGATATTTTTCAACCTTTGCAAAGCTGCTTGGTGGTTTGTATTTACCATTTTACGCCTATTGGTAAAAAAATTAAATAAAGGTGAACTGAGTCCTGTGTACTTTCCTTCACTGATGAATAGATACAGAAGCTCATTGTTGTATCTACCGTAGTGTCTTGTTTTAAAGCCTGTCTCATAATTATAGAAGCCTGTCTTGAATGGAAGCCTGATTTTCAAGGTACACTGTCGGCGCATAAGCCTGGTTTTAGTGTTGACATACATAGAACTACCTGTCTTGTATAGAAGCCTGTCTCGTATAGAAGCCTGCAAAACTTCCCCCAAAAAGTCATAGAAGCCGCGGCTTTTATACACGACTTCATGGTAGTCCCATTTCCTGTCTCAGGCAACACTGCTAAATTCCCTTGCATAGTCCACTGTTCGGGGGCCAAGTGACGTGTAGCGTTGCCGTTGGTCCGAACTCGAGTGACTGACACTGCAATTTCTCGATCCATCTCCGTGTGTGATGTGTAGCTGGAGAACTACGGCATGCCATTCAGCCGTACCGACGACGGCGACATTTATCAGCGTGCGTTTGGCGGCCAGTCGCTCAACTACGGTAAGGGAGGTCAAGCACATCGCTGCTGCGCTGTTGCAGACCGTACCGGCCACTCTCTTCTTCATACGCTCTACGGACAGGTGAGCGCTTGTTTGTGGAAGCCTTCCCCATTTTATGTTTCGTTTGTAGTCCCAATGCAGCTTGCTACTCGTATTTAGTCCTTACATTGTTGTTTAGAAAGCCTCTCTCGGTGATTGAAGAAAGAGAGGACCGCAACGTTTACTGATGCGTAGTTGTCAATCAATTATTTTATCGCCAAGATGCCGTGGGGTCGAAGCGTTCAGCATTTGGTACAATATTGCTTTATGATACTGACATTCAGCGTCTTGGATGCGCTGATCAACGGCCTTCCAACCCCTTGGTTCTTTGAACTTCTTTCTCTTGCTGATTTTTGTCAAGTTGATTGGTTTCAGTAGAGCTGGCTTAGGGTTGGGGCTTGGGAATGCTGCATCACTGGAGGCCAGAGTCATAGCAGCTCTTCACACTTGATCTGTACTTTTTCTTAAACCCATACACACTTGAAACAATAGTTCCATTCACTATCGGACGGCACGCCTACTGGTAGTGATTGTATTGGGTGCTGGGGTGGGACGTTACTGCTATACAGAGTGATAACTGACCATATACATGTACCAGCATGCCACTGAAGGCGCCTGTCACTACCGTAAAGTCTCGTATAAAAGCCGCACTTGAATAGAAGCCGCAATTTTGGGCCCATCAAATCACACATACGCCTGGTTTTAGTGTTGACATACATAGAAATACCTGTCTTGTATAGAAGCCTGTCTCATCTAGAAGCCTGCAAAATTTCACCAAGAAAGTCGTATAAGCCGCGGCTTTTTATACAAGACTTTACGGTATTTACTTGCTGTATGCCATGCAAAAGGGCGTGTCCAGGTGTGTGTGTGTGCGTGCGCGCATGTGTGTCTGTGTGTTTGTTTGTTTCCGTACATCCCAGTTGTATTTGATGTCATCACTTTCAATAAGTTTCAAGGCCGTAGACCCTTAGGGGATCTATGACATTCCGTAGGCCGCTGTAGAATCCCTTATAGTGGGTTGTGTTGACAATGCCGGCCCTATTTTTGTTGAACTGTGACTGCTATTTCTATGTGGGAGCATGTGGCTAGATCACTTATGCGTCGTGTTATTTTCTCTTTGTCCTCAGTCACTGCGGTATGACGCTACTTATTTCATTGAGTACTTTGCCATGGATCTGCTGATGGACAACGGTGTGTGCGTCGGTGTTATTGCCATGAATATGGAAGACGGATCCATTCACCGATTCCGCTGCAAGAACACCGTGCTTGCGACTGGGTGAGTCGTTGATGTGGACAGTTGGCTGCTTTAGTCACGGAGTATCAGGGACTGCCTGTACACATTCAACATCGGTATTTACCAGTCGTTATGGATACTCTATCCGTATGCAGCTCAACAGTAAATTGCTGGGCCGTCCTGCTGGTGTCTCACGCAGTTCAGGTCGCGATGAATTGTTTTAAACTTCAAACGTTTCGGCTAAATGTTTGCACTCACCAGTGACATGTATGAACAAAGGCTTCAAAGTATGTGGAACGTGTAGCATAGAGTGCTCTTTTGAGAGCACTGCTTTATCTGGACGTTGTGCTCGGTTTGGGATGGGCATGAGCTTTGTGTCGCCTTGCGTCCAATTCGACGTTACTCCGGTAGATTGCAGCATGGCCGCCTAGGCAGAAGCCGACTAACACGGGAACACTACAACCACCGACCAGCACATATTCTGCCATTGCTAGTCGTAATGAAAGCGCACGCATATACTTGGAAGTACATATGCGACTCGAGGACATGCGCTTGTACGATGCAGCATGCTGCCATACTTGCAAAAGCCGAGCTTCTATACTATAGCCGGGGTGTACAGTGGGTACATGGGTTGTGTACTCCTGCAGATACTCTGCAGCTGACAACTATAGGATAGTGTGTTTGATGTTGACGGGCAAATCTGATGTCTCTCTGTTGCTTGCTCGTTCCTTTACCTGGGTGTCTTGTCTGCTGTTGCTGCGGAGTGTAACTGACGATGCGTTGTTTTGTTTGTGGTTGTCTCTTGTTGTCGGTGTGCACAGTGGATACGGCCGTGCGTACTTCTCCTGCACCTCTGCTCACACTTGCACTGGTGACGGCTCCGCTATGGTTGCTCGTGCTGGCCTTGCCAATGAGGACATGGAGTTTGTGCAGTTCCATCCAACTGGTATGGTCACGACTTGATCCCAGGTCTTTGCTTGCTTAGGTCATGACCAATGCAATTTCTCCTTTTATAGGAGAACCACCCCAAAATTGAATAGGTGTTGTTCAGTCCCCTCTTGATTTGCCTTTGCACTATCTGCTGCAGTGGTAAGCGTTCTGTGGTGTTTGGTGTTGAACTTGTGTGTGTGTATGTGTGTATGTGTGTGTGTGTGTGTGTGTGTGTGTGTGTGTGTGTGTGTGTGTGTGTGTGTGTGTGTGTGTGTGTGTGTGTGTGTGTGTGTGTGTGTGTGTGTGTGTGTGTGTAGGTATCTATGGTGCTGGTTGTCTGATTACTGAGGGTTGCCGTGGTGAGGGTGGTATCCTCATCAATGGTCACGGCGAGCCGTTCATGGAGCGCTACGCACCCAAGGCCAAGGATTTGGCATCGCGCGACGTTGTTTCGCGTTCCATGACAATGGAGATCCGCGAGGGACGGTGAGTGCGCTGCTGTGCTATTGCCTGGTGTAGAGCAACCTCAGCTGTCTTCCGGCACCACCTTGCCTTTGAGAACTTGCTGACACACACACACAACTCACTCAGCTCAGCAGAGTTGTAGTACAGGGGTACCGTACTGCTGGTCGGCAAAAAGGCACAGTAAAAGGCTACTAAAAGCACAGGTTTTGCCAAAATTTGGTACTGTTTCCTGGGAATTTTCTTAATTGTTGCCAAGGGAAAAGCTTTAACCTGGCCGAATCTCTAACTCTTTAAGGCTGTGCCAATTGTTCCGAATGCTTCACAGAACAATGTGCCGTGCCGAGTCAAGCCTTCTATGTATTTTGATTGCAGGATTTCCTTTATCTTCCTTTTGTTTTCTTAACACATCTGCTTTCTTATATTGATTGTAGTGCTGTTGGTGTCGCATGTTCGCATTCTGTCTGAGCAAACTGTTCACGTCTGTGCTGTCTGTTTGTGTGGTGTACAGAGGCTGTGGCCCAGACAAGGATCATGTTTACCTTCAACTCTTCCACTTGCCACAAGATATCCTTGCCACCAGATTGCCAGGTAGCCACTTGTTGATTATGAATGAGATGTGTTCTAGAGTGCGTTGCATAGCTATACTACCAGTACATGCTGTAGACCTTTTTAGTAGTAATCTGCAGACTCGCGAACCTACGCTGTGCTCCTAGTACCGTTGCCGGGCTCCTCATGTGCGCTGGTGATGGCTTATGTGCGTGACAATGCTGGTGGTAATTTACTTCAGCTGGCAGCTGGCCTGATTTGATCTTCCGTTGTCTTTTCTTGCCAGCTCTGTGTATGTGTGTGCATAACGGTGAACTGTTGCTTGCCCCTATTGTCTGTAGGTATCAGTGAGACGGCCATGATCTTTGCCGGTGTGGACGTGACACGTGAGCCCATCCCTGTTCTACCCACCGTGCATTACAACATGGGCGGTGTGCCCACCAACTGGACAGGACAGGTATGTAGCGCTCAAAGTACTCAGTCTAGTGCTAAAGGTACACGATCTAGTGCTGAAAGTATTGAATCTAGTCCTGAAAGTACTGAATCTAGTGCTGAAAGTACTGAATCTAGTGCTGAAAGTACTGAATCTAGTGCTGCCAGTTCTTGGCACAGGTTTTCTTCCATATGAGCATAATACTGGTCCATTGGAAATAATTTGGAATTGCCCGCACTTTGCTACGGCGTACGTAATAATCATGCATGGTGTAGTGTTCAGCTTGTCCCTTTGATATGTAGCCTCACTTGCCACGTAGTTTCTGTGTTTTCAGACTCTAGACAGAGGTTCATTCTTCCAGAAAGTGGACCCTAAAGAAAGTTTATCTTCGGCCAGGCTTGGCATTGAAGTGTTGTGACATGTTGTTGTTGTTTATGCGTGATTTTGTGGGTGTGTTGTTGTTGTTGATGCGTGTACTGCTGCAGGTGATTCAGATCAACAAGAAGGGCGAGGACGTTGTCGTGCCCGGTCTGTACGCCGCTGGCGAGGCTGCCTGCGCGTCAGTGCACGGTGCCAACCGTCTCGGCGCCAACTCCCTGCTCGATCTGGTCATCTTTGGCCGTGCCTGCGCGCACACCATTGCCAAGAACAGCAAGCCCGGCGATGACATGCCTCCTTTGCCTAAGGTACGCTGGTGGTGGAGTAGAAGAGATTGCATCCAGCGCCACTTGCTACATGGTGCACAGGGAAAGGTGTCCTGGATGTGCAGTACTATTCTTGATGTCCCTGTAGAATGCTGCACCAGTCGTTTGACATTCGGATACACAGAACCTTGAGTGAGCTCCTCTGACAAGACCTAACAGGGTCTAAACAGCTAACTGTCCGGAGATAGAACAGGACCTCGGCTATATTACAGATCTCGCTGCCCTGCGGCGTGTTGTACCCGGTGTTTCAATCAACTAAATAAGGCGTGTGTATTGCTGTGAGTGAAGGTGACGGTTGAAATCATGTTGGCAACCTGTTCTGACGATAAGTACACGTAGTCAAGTACAAGTAGTCAGCTATAGAATGCAGCACAATGCTTGTGTTACCCAGTGTCTGTATGCACACCTCTATATGCTATGCTGTATTGCTGTATTGCTGCTTTGCACTTGTACAGGATGCTGGTGAGGCTTCTCTGGGCAACCTGGACAAGGTGCGCCATGCCAACGGTGCTGTCCCCACTGCTGAGCTCCGCTTGAACATGCAAAAGGTATGTTGCTCCAAAGAGCATTGGTCATTCTTAATCAATGACTGGCTACGTCTTGACCGGAGAATGCCTCTTTGTCATGCTCAGTATGCTCACATGATCTTCTGTAATATTGTGTTTGTTTTTTTGTTGTTGTATTCATTATTTGTTTTGTGGTAGACTATGCAAAACAATGCGGCTGTCTTCCGCACTGGTGAGGTATTGCAGGAGGGTGTGGAGAAGATGAGTAAGATCAACAAGGACTTTGCTGATGTCAAGGTTAGTCTTGCATTTTCTCCCTTTGTTTGTGGTGATGATGGCAATGGCGTTCGATTTGAAGCTTTTCCACTTCAACCTTGCAGCGCGGACGGAATCATGATTATTTCACTGGCCTTCAAATGAAGCGCACTTTCACCCATATCTCTGACAAGCGCTCTTCGAGTTTTACAAATAAACCAGCGTTGGATAGGTACTTCTAAGACTCTTACCATACTCCAGGCAGCTACCCGCACGGCCTCGGCTCTGCGTGCCTTAAATTGTCGCTCTAAATAGCAGCCATGCACAGACCATTTGCAAAGTTCAAGCAGCTGCCATTCCATTCTTCCTCGTCACATCAACTTCAAGCAAACTGCAGCAGAAAGCCTGTCTCAAGCGCAGAATGTTGGCTTGCGATATGCTTCAGTATGACATAGGATCCCGGGTAAACTCTGCGCAAGTGCGTCACGAAAATCGCACCATATTTTGTCTTTGTCTTCGACTTCGATTCTCACTACATCGTGCATCTTTGGGACTTCGGACAACTAAGAGACTTGAACAGGATAGCAAGGGTTCTCCTCAAAACATAGAACCCTCAGTTTTGAGAACCGGCGGTAAAACAGCACAGATGCTATTGTTTTTGTTAGTGCCAGTGTTTTAATTGTGTCTCAATATGTTTGAATTGTACTGGACTGATGTCGGGTTCATGGCCCTTGCACACTGCTGCTTTTAGTGCCAGGAGTTCAACACTGACTTGGCTATCCAACCTTGATCGTTTTATGGTGTAGGTTTTTGACCGTGGTCTCGTCTGGAACTCTGACCTCATCGAGACTCTGGAGCTGCAAAACTTGCTCAACTGTGCTGTTCAGACCCTGGTGTCTGCGGAGGCGAGAAAGGAGAGCCGTGGTGCACATGCTCGCGAAGACTTCAAGGTACGTTACTGCTCTCTCTCTCTCTCTCTCTCTCTCTCTCTCTCTCTTTCTCTCTCTCTCCGTTCCATCATGTTTTTGGAATTTTTTTATTTCTGATCATGAATGTGTCACGACTGCACTGGATCATGCTCGTAGGACGTAAATGATCTTCTAAAGCAGGTATACCTACCTGCTCGAAATTCACACTTAGGTTACGTTTGGTTGGTCACATTCCCAAATGGGAATCACTTGGAATCACTCGGAATCATTCTCGCCCGTTTGGTTGGTCAAAAAAGTGCGTTAGGTTGGTCACATTCCACTTGATTCCAGAATGGGAATCGCTGAGAATGATTCTTTTTGGAGAATGATCATTCCACCTCACATGCTGGAATGAGCATTCTCATTCCGGAATCAAAAATGATAATGGCTGCCACGAGCCAAACAATGTAGCAACAGGTTCAAGTGCCTCAAATCATGCACTCAGAAGTACCATGACTCTCTCAAGGAAACTAGAGTAGGGTAAAAGAAAAGACAGCCGCCGTTCCACAACGACATCATGGAATTGTTATATCAAGTGATTCCTAATTGATTCTGGCGCGTTAGTTTGGTCAGGTGATTCTTGCCGATTCCCATTCCAGAATGGTTGTCATTTACATTCTGAAAATGCCCAACCAAACGCAACCTGAATCCTGATGTAGTGATAATATAGCTGTTAGAATACAGGATAAGGGCTTTGTTTGACCATGGCAGCATGGCTACATACCAGTCACTGTAAATCAAAGTTTGTGCATGAAGTCACTTGTTCTCAATTTTCTTCGCTTTACTGTGGAGCAAACTAGTTCTCTCCGGTCCGCTCTACCTCCACTCGTGAGCTCTGTTGAAGCGAAACGGCTGTCTGAAGGGTCTGCAATGTCAATGTTTCAAAGCAATTGTCCTCGCTATGGTGGTGATGTGCAAGTGAAGAGGTAGTGGTGGTGTGACTAATATTTATTTTGTGGTGTTCTGTTGTTTGTATCTGCTATATTTTCCGCATGGGCATCCATCCTCCTTTGTGCAGACCCGTATCGATGAGTTTGATTACGCAAAGCCACTTGAGGGACAAGAGCAAGTTCCATTCGAGAAGCACTGGCGGAAACACACCATGTCCACTATCGACGAATCTGGCAAGGTATGTTTTGTCCTCCAGTATGGCCAGTGTACGTACAAGTAATTCAGTTACAGTCCCGCAGGACAAATGATGGGCCCGTGCTCACTTCTTTTTGCTTGCAGTTTTTTTCTCATTTCGGTCACTGTCCCCTCTTCCTTTGTTGTGTTGCTATCCCATACCAAAGCATGTTCATTTCCAAGCATGACCTGCTTCATAAGTTCATGACATGTTACTCATGGTTACTGAGTCTCTACTTGCCTCAAGCTTGGCTGATTGCCATACGTACATGTACATGTATACCTGCGGTGTGGACGGGCAAACCAGGATAATAATGATACCTTGTAGCAGGCACATTGCTTCCACCTGTATCTAAAAAGTCTGACGTCTCCTAATCACTATTCTATTGTTCTTCTGTTGCAGGTTGATCTTGAGTACCGACCTGTCATTGACCCTACCATGGACGAGAAGGAATGTGCGCATGTACCGCCCCAGCTACGAAGCTATTAGTTTGCTTGCTTCCTGCATTGTATCGTTGCATGATGTGGTCCGTGGCCTGATTTGAAAGTGACACCCTCCTGTGTCCGCGGCACGTCAACGTTTCATGGCTGGCGATTCAGTGCAGTTTGAGACACTGGATCTAGCCATGTTGGGGGTTTTATATGTACATGCTCGGAGGGTGTCCAGTTGACTAGTTTGGCGGCTGAGTCTGTCTTCAGTACTGTGGTATTGCCATGGTTGCCTGGGCTGAGTTCGTGATCAATAACTATTGCAGCTCTGGCTAGCAATTTTTTTATCGATTTTCTTTGCTGACAACTCAGTGGTAGAACATGCTGTGGTAGCTTTATGGAGCGTTTGTGGTTGGACGAAAATGCAATACTACAAGTGTTTCCATCTACCGTGACTTACGACTTCGGACCATGGCTATTTAGTATTTACAGATGTATCTCTACTACTACTCCGCTCTCGATCTTGTAGCATCATCATCCCATGGGATTCGGGCCATCTTGTTCAATTCTCACACTCCATGCTGTTGAGTATTCAAGCTATCAATCTGTTGCACGTGCTTTGCACTGCCCTATACAAGTTATTATTATTCTTTTCATTCTCGATCGGCCGAGCTCGTCCGGCTGTTCGTCCTCTCTCTCTCTTTCTTTCCCTCGATATAGTTTACTATGGATGGATTCGATGCTGTGCTGTAGGAATGCTCTGCTTGATTGTGCGTTTGCGCTCGGTGAAATCCGACCCCAAAGTGCAAAACTGGCTCTGGTCTTGCTCTGGTCTTGGTCAGTTCCCATTACATGTACATCACTGTACGTGCATGTGCACGTCCAGCTGCGTTCGTACCGCAGCCAACGTGTCAAGAGCCGTGGTAGTTGAGGGCGCCAAATAAGTATGCACTCTGGGTCGGATTTCACCAAGCCCAACTGTGCATACATTATGTATGTGATGAACGAGGTCGACTCTGGTGTATGCCATGGAATTGTTTCCTCAAAGCCCAGACCAGCAACAACTATTAGTATTGGCAGACGGTAGTCAAGGTAGTCATAGACTTTTCTCGGTCTTGGAGTCGACTACAGTGTGTTGTACTCTTGGTGCAACACACTGTAGTCGACTCCAAGACCTAGAAAAGTCTATGACCGTAGATCTACTACCATGACTACCGTATGCCAATACCGGTACTAGTACTCGTACTAGTAGTTGTTTTTAGATTATGTCACTTTGTATACTGTCACGTCACGTGACGTTGATTTGCATTTTCGATTACGTAAGCGAGTCGCAACGCACCCGCATTTGTTGCGCTTAGCTTGCGGGCCAATTCGCGGCGCGCCTTTTTCCGCCGCACTTTGTGCTTGCCCGGCTGCATGCATGCGCGCTATGCATATGCAGCTCATCAGCTAGCTGTCGATAGGTACCGCGGATCAGCGTCATCATGATCATGCATGAGGGAGGTTCTGCTCAGGGAGTCGTAAAAGCCCGGCCTTTACGACTCCCTGGTTCTGCTCTACGTTTCGGGAACGCGACGCAAAGAATCACGCCATTCTCTTCGCGTTCCCGTAACGTAAAGAAATCCTGTTCTGCATGCTCTACCCGGCCTTCACGTAGAGAAGTCACGTGGAATGTGTACTGGGAATTTCCCCTTCCATATTTGGCAGTTTTCTGCATGCACTTGATCGATACCCAGCAAATCCGTACGTATTTTCTCTGCGTGTGCCACAAGTAACGACTAACGTAGAGAACCTCATATCTCCGGCAAGGCCATATTGATGGTAGTAGGCCCAGCAATTCAGCAAGCCACAGGGTGCCTCCAACTGTGTGCAGGTCAACAGAGCGGCATCGAAGCAGCCATCCACGCTATGCGATCCGCATTCGCGCAAGACGACACTGAGGCCGTGCTCCTAGCCGATGCATCAAATGCGTTCAATCGTATCAACCGCAACGTATGCATTCGCAACATCCAGCATCTGTGCCCAGAATTCTCCACCACCATCGTCAATACGTACCGGTCCCCATCCCGGCTGTTCGTCGGTGGCGAGACCATTCTCTCCTGTGAAGGAACTACACAAGGCGATCCGCTCGCAATGGCAATGTATGCGTTGGGCACCGTGCCTCTCATCCGTCGTGCTGCCTCTAGCAAAGCCGTACAAGCGTGGTTCGCAGATGATTCCACAGCAGCAAGCACTCTCACCAGGCTTCATAAGTGGTGGTCCATCCTGGAAGAAGAAGGTCCATCCTATGGATACTACATCAACGCCAAAAAGTCGATACTTTTGGTGAAGCCTGAGTGCTTAGATCGAGCCAGGGAAATCTTCCAGGACTCCAGCATAGACATCCGGTCGGATGGGTGTCGCCACCTAGGTGCCGTCCTCGGATCACCAACATTCTGTTCGGCATATGTGTCAGGCAAGGTGGATGAGTGGTGTCGCGAAGTGGATGTTCTGGCTGAGTTCGCCCGCACCCAACCACAAGCGGCATTTGCTGCCTTCGGCCAGGGAGTTCGCCATCAGTGGTCCTTTGTCGCCCGGACAGTGCCAAATACGGCCGACCTGCTCGCACCCTTGGAGGAAAGAATCCGTACCAAATTCATCCCTGCCATCATCAACCGCGTCCCGCCAGGAGACATCGAGCGTGCCATCCTGGCCCTACCGTGCAGGGACGGAGGGCTGGGGATCGTCAACCCATCCTCCCTTGCCTCCCAGTTCCAGGACTCTATGCATATTACCAAGTCTCTCGTGCAGAAGATCCTCCAGCAAGATCAGTCAGCAGAAGGCGTCCCAGCTGCCACCATCACAGCGAAGGCAGAGATTGTTTCCCAGTCCCGGCGCCTGGCGAAGGAAGCGGTTGCCTCGGTCATTGCCACCTCCACCACAGAGCGCACCCTGAATCTTGTTGCTGAAAAGGGCGCCTCCAGCTGGTTGACCTGTCGGCCCCTTCGTCAGTATGGTTTCAACCTACACAAGCAGGCGTTCTGGGACGCTCTCTGCCTACGGTATGGTTGGACCCCTCCAGGCCTGCCAACAGAATGTGTGTGCGGCAAAGCGTTTTCACCGGAACACGCGCTGTCTTGCCCAACTGGTGGCTACCCCGCCATGCGGCATAATGACCTTCGGGATCTCACCGCATCTCTCCTGCGTGAAGTGGCCCATGATGTCCAGGTCGAGCCACATCTCCAGCCGCTAACCGGTGAGACCTTCCGTCACCGCTTCGCCATCTCCGAGGATGGTGCCCGCCTGGATGTGGCCGCATCGGGTGTCTGGGGTGGACATTTCGAACGGGCACTACTGGACATCCGGGTATTCAACCCGCACACCCGCTCCAACCGCCAACAGTCCATCACAGCCACCTACCGGAAGCATGAGGCCGAGAAAAGGCGCGCGTACGAAGAACGCGTCCGGGAAGTTGAACACGCGTCTTTTTCTCCCATTGTGTTCAGCGCTTCCGGCGGCTACGGCAAGTCCGCCTCCGCTTTTTTCAAGCGTGTCGCCTCTATGCTCGCCGACAAGAGAAAGGAGCCCTTCTCCTCACTTCTTGCCTTTATTAGGTCAAGGGTTTCCTTTTCTCTTGTTCGTGCCTCGCGGCCAGCCTCCGTGGTCACCGCAGGCCACGGTCTCAAGATGCCCGCCAGAGAGTCATTGACTCTGATGCTTCTGTGGTCCTTGCTGCTGCAGAGTGCTTTCGGTAACTATCCGTGGTGTGTTTGGCTACTGTTCTGCTTCAGTACCCCCCCCCCCCCCCCCCCCACTTTTTCATGATTTTGCATGTTATCGTTTTCTCGGATTCCGGTTTTCCACTCTGTTATGCTCGAATCCATAGTCTGTTTAGTCTGTACACGATTTGTACGCAACTTCTCATTGTTTTTTTTTGTTTTTGTTTTTTTTACCAGGCGTGGGCCATCCCCTGATCATAGGTGCCAAAGACTACATTTCAGATCATAAAAAAAAATATATATTATTATAATATCTCCGCGCGTAGAAATCTGGAGCCAAAACACGCGAAGCCGTAGACTCTAACCCAGACACCTGCTCTCTACGTTACGTGATTTCTCTACGTTTCACGTGTACGTGGAACCTCTCTAGCTCTATATCTATGGACTGGTCGACATGGTCGTACCCGGTACCCGCGATCGCGCGATACGGTATCGCGGTACGCAATGAAATCGTGTTCGTACGCGTCCGCGTCCACGCATCCTGCGCGGCAAGTTTGAAAGTTGGTTGAATGCGAAATGTCGCCATCGCAACTAGTAACTTACTTTGTCAATCTTGCTTTCTGGATTTTTCTGGGCAGTGGCATTTCATTTGAATGGATTGGTGTTTCAAACGAACTCAACGTACAAGAGCTAACAAGAAAGACAGGGTTTGTTCTTTCATATGGCTGTGCTGTAGCTAATGTGGCAAGGCAGGCACTGGCATGGACTAAGATTGCGTGGCCGAAGGAGGGAATTCGCAACTGGAGGATGATTGGATCATTGCATGTATCTTGCAGTATGTTGGAGGCCTGATGAAACTGCACTTCGCTGAGATGGAGAAAGTGAGAAGCTGCAGCGTGGATTCCACGCATGATACCATGCTAGATGCATTGGACCACATCATGACAATCCACAGGCAGAAAATACAGGGTAAGTGATTGCAACTGCGACTGCTAAAGTCCTTTTGTGCCAAGAAGTAATTACTTAAAGATGACTCCACATCCATCTTGTACTGCAGGGAGGGGAGGGGAGGTATCAACAAATTACACAATGCGAAGACGTGGGTGAAGCTGTGCTTGCATAAACCAACCAGGGTTGAGACGGCACTGTTTAAAAGACAAAACAAAGTGCTTGGTGTTTTTACATGAGGAGGATTGACCCGAGGAGATTATTATTTTGCCAACAAAAGTCCATTTTATGGAGTGTGTAGGGTTGTGTGCACAGTGCTATGTAGGGTTGTGTGCACAGTGCTATGTAGGGTTGTGTGCACAGTGCTATGTAGGGTTGTGTGCACAGTGCTATGTAGGGTTGTGTGCACAGTGCTATGTAGGGTTGTGTGCACAGTGCTGTGTAGGGTTGTGTGCACAGTGCTATGTAGGGTTGTGTGCACAGTGCTATGTAGGGTTGTGTGCACAGTGCTGTGTAGGGTTGTGTGCACAGTGCTGTGTAGGGTTGTGTGCACAGTGCTATGTAGGGTTGTGTGCACAGTGCTGTGCAGTTCGGTGCGAAGTACGCCAGTAACTACAGTAGTACGTGTACTCAATCTCAGCACGGTTTGAGATTTCGATCCCCTTTGGGCAAATTGAAAAGATACTTATTCTGCGTGTTGACATGAAGGGAGTTAAACCAAATAGATTACTACAGGTCGTCCCCCGTTAATACGAGTCCGGTTAGTACATAAACCCCGTTAGTACATAAGAAATCTCAAATCCCGGACGAAACGTGGTCGCTTCCATACAAATTTCATCGGTTAGTACATAATTCGTTAGTACATAAACCCCGTTAGTACATAACATTTCTCCGTACCCACATGCCACTTACCTCAATAGTACATAATTTGTTGGTCTTTTGGCCTTCGAGTGGAGGCACATCGTGTTCTAGTTTCTACTTGTGGACGCAATTAGCTCAGAAATCAGAGCGCACATTACAAACCGACAAAGCTCTGTTTTTTTCCAAGTGACTGTACAGGCGCGGCTGGACATGTATCACGTAAACTGTAGAATCTTTGCTGACTGTGACAGTTATAACATAATTTTTATGTTATATCGAGGGAATCAAGAATATCTCGCTCCCTTGTCATGGTAGCAAGAAACACTCAGAAAAGTTGAAAAAAGTGAAAATTTCTGGTACACAAGCAAGTTATGTACACTTTCGTTTAGTACATAAACCCCGTTAATACATAACATTTCTCAAGTCCCAGAGATTATGTATTAACGAGGGACGACCTGTAATATGCTGACAAAAGTAGAGTACTAATATGCTGACAAAAGTAGAGTACTAATATGCTGACAAAAGTCCATACAGTTGAGGAGCGCGCCGAATGACATGGAGCCCAAGAACGTCCGGCCTGAAATGCTAAGAACGGCGCAGCCTAAAGTTGAGAACGGCGGTGTTGTTTTTTTGGTAGCTTGTGTGATGCATATGATCCAGTACGAATTGTTTCTAAGAATGTGCTATAAGAACGCAGCCCGATTGCTGAAAAATAAGAACATCCCAGGCTAACCCCTTGGAGACAACGTTCTTGTTTGGCTCTACTGTACGTGGAGCCTTGTGTGGCGAAACAAATATTTTGGTGGGAATTTTGAGCATGCAATGCTGTGTACGCAGAAATGTGGTAGTTTTGATTTCAACTTTGCCATCAGGCTGGCACGTTGAAGTAAACCCAGGGCTAAGGTCAGCTCATCCATGTGAACTCGCCAGTCAATCGGTGTACATGGCGGGTTCAGAACTCGTGTAAACACAGCCACCGTTGCTGAAAACTTATGTCAATTCACCTTAAGTTGCTGAAATCCATGTTAACACTAAACAGCGAAAGTTGCTACCGCAAGACATGAACCAGTGACGAGTATGTACGGCGAATGGCCAGCGAAAAAGGTACAAGTGTGAGTTAGTTATGTCCATTTGTTGTCTATTGTTGTCGCACCACACTTCGCGCTGGTTAGGTATCCTCACACTTGCACCTTTTTTTCTCATTCTCTCTATGTGTATGGGTCACACATTCATTGTTGTTGTTTTGGCTCTTCTTCCTTGCGCTGTTTCTATCACCTCTCTACTGTACTTAGTCCACTGTCCTTGTTCATTTGCTCTTGCCTGTATTTCACCTGACGATAAGGCTTGAAAGTATACTAGTGAAAACTTTCAAGATGTTGTTCAAGAGCCTGAAGTGTGTCCTTCTTCTTTGTATTATCATGCGAAATGTACGAAAATAAAATGCATACGAAATGTTCTGGATTTTACAGAACTTCCTATGTGGCGGGCAATCCTTGCACGGAATTGTTTTCCTAATTTGTGATTTCCATGTGATTTCTTCTATTTTAATTTGTGAATAAGCGCATTAAATTGCGGCGTGGAGAATTTATTGCGGAGATACATCTTGAACACTGTGCCTAGCGTGCACGAAAGCGTACCAAAATCATTTCGCATTGTACCATGTTTAAATGCACAGTCCTTTGGGTGCCCCGGTGGTTTTTTTGTCGCCTGTAGTTGCTACCAAGTCTTGATCTTGGCAGGCAGGCACGTGAATGCTATACCAACTTATTGTCTAAACTCCACCTTACTGCTTCTTCTTGTAATGTCAGAGCTGGAAGACCAATTAGAGAAAGAACGCAATGAGTACGTGGAAAAGCTGCAGTCGGAGTTGGCCAACTTCCGCCATCACATGCGCCTCAAGGACGAGACGATCGCGTGCCTGCGCAAGCAGCTGTCCCAGTCCCTGAACCGCCCAGCCATGTAAGAATGCCAAGGGATGAGCCGTGCATGTGTGTTGTGGCGGTGCATAGTGTACCTATTCGGTTCAGGGGAAGGGGAGTGAGGGGGGGGGGGGGGGAGGGCTACGGCGCTGGTAACATGGCATGGATGGGATAATGGGGCTGGTGGTGGTGGTGGGGGGTTGTACGGTGTTCATAGTATGAGGCAGGTGGCCATGGAGCAAGGGTTATGTCTTTAAGGTTCCTGCTAAATATGCTTGTGTGCCCTGAAAACCTCCAACATCTGCTGCTGAAGTCTCAAACATCACATTCCCTTGCCATTCCAGTCAGAGTTGACTATCGGTCACGTTGCCCCTTTTTCCCATGGTTGACACGACTATTACCAGCTAAATCTGCTTGGCAATAGCTCGCCATTTCTTTCTTCTTCCCTTTGTTTTCTCCTGGTTCTTTGGCTCGCACGCCTGCGTGTATGTGTCAACAGCTTATACAGTAGCATTTATATGACTCTGCGATGTGTGAATGTGTGTGTGCGTGCGTCCTGAGTCAGTTTGTGTGTGTGTGTGTGTGTGTGTGTGTGTGTGTGTGTGTGTGTGTGTGTGTGTGTGTGTGTGTGTGTGTGTGTGTGTGTGTGTGTGTGAGTGTGTGCGCGTGCGCGCGTGTGTGTGTGTGTCCCATATGGTGCAGTGGTATGTGCAGTCGATTTCCAATCGAGAGGTTGCGGGTTCAATTCCCGACAATTATGATCGCACACGTCTTTCTTCTCTTTCTCATTCTCCTAGCTCTTCTTTCATTCTCCTGGGTGGTTACCAACAGCCAGTGTATGCCAGAGTATGTGGTGTGACGTGTGTGTGTGTAAAAAAGAATGGAAAATGGAAAAAAATGAAAAATGAATAATAGGGATTCACTGGCCAGAAAAAGCCACTTCAAACAGCTGTGTGGTGGATACCAGGCTAAAATAGTGGCGGTCAATTCATTAGCCTTGCAAACTGTTGAATGGTGTAATCCCAGTACAAGTTGCTATGTCTAACATAGCGTTCGCTATCATCGCTTCCGCGATGGGCATGTCTGAGTCTGAGTGTGTGTGTGTGTGTGTGTGTGTGTGTGTGTGTGCGTCGTCTCCAGGTTGAATTCACCATCAACTGGAGCACGCCAGAGCTGGACCTTGTAAGTTCTTACCACGAGAAGTGTGTTGTTGTTGTTCCTGTTGTTGTTGTTGTTGTTGTTGTTGTTGTTGTTGTTGTTGTTGTTGTTGTTGTTGTTGTTGTTGTTGTTGTTGTTGTTGTTGTTGTTGTTGTTGTTGTTGTTGTTGTTGTTGTTGTTGTCGTTGTTTTTGTTGTTGTTATTGTCGTTGTTGTCGGCGGCGTCGGTGGTAGTGGTGTGCCCGTTCCACCCCAAGGCATGTGCTGATACACAACCAATCATGTTGCTTATCAAGTTTGTTATTTAGCTTACCCGGTACCATCTCCTTAGCTGCCGCTGTTCCCTCTTTTTCTTGTTCTCTTGTTTCTCAGGGAGCCACTGTTGTCGCGCTGGAAGCACACGTACGACTACGCTCGCTCCTATTCGCCAACGCCGCAAGACAAGCTTCGCCGCTCCATTAGCTGCGACAACAACGTCCTGTGCCCGCTACCCAACTTTGGACCACCAGACGTGTTCTCTCAGCTGCAGTCCCCGTCACCGTCGACCAGCGTCGCCATGGGCATGTCAAGCGTCAGCAAGGCAGCGACGGCACGGCAACAGGCGGCGGTCCTCGCGCCGTTCATGGACATGACGGCGAAGTCATCCAGCGCCAGCATAGCCGTTCACCCGCGCCTTGCCCTGGCGGTGTCACACTCCAACGACACCACCACCGACCCGGCCGACTCGGCTGCGGGATTCGACAGTCTGGACTCGGCTCCGGGGAAAACAGTGACGGGCGGTGAGAAGACGAGTCCGGACCCCGATTACGCCATCCTGCTGCGGCAGACGTCACTCACCTCCACCATGTCCATGGTTACGGCGAAACCTGACTACAACAGCTCGCTGGCACGCTTAGACTCGACCGCGTCCGAACCTATCAGCCACATTAGTAGCATGCAGCACAATGGTAACATGTCTGCAGCCCTGCCATCGAGCAGTTTCGCTGTCACTAGCTGTGCTGACCACATCTCACCCCCAGTTTCCGTCCTGCCCTCAGCAGATGACAGCACTGCCGAGAGCGTGTTAAGAACGCCGTTGCCTCAAAGCGGTGGGAGCATTGCCGACCCTCAGGCTCAGTGTGACAATGGCAATGTTCCTGTTCAAACACTTCTGCAAACCATCTGGCGCAACGGCAAGAAGGGCAACGGCGGCCCAACCGAAGAGCTTGTGGCGTCATCACGCGCCCTTTCGGCCGGTGCCTCCAATCTGCACTCGGTGCTGATGCGCAGCGCCATGCCTCCCAAGGTGCTAAGCGTGGAAGCTTCCCACGCCCCGTTGTCCAAGACATCCAGCACGACTAGAAGCAACACTGTGCCGCCGCCGCAGTCCAATCAAGCCGTTTCTTCGGCACACTACTACAGCACCATCTGCTCGGTTGCGTCGCTCAACTCGGAGCGCGACAGCGACGATAAACTGGACGACCCGTTCCTGGGCAGCAGCAGTGACCTGCGGCGCCGTCTGAACAGCGAGTACGTGCCTGTGTTCAGCGGCGAAGGTCACGAACTGGGAGTAGTGGAGAAGTCCAGGCAGCGGCCGAGCCAGGAAAGCCTCTTGGTGTGTGTCAGCCACTCTCCGCTCGTTAGCGGCTCATCGGCGGCCGTACGCCTGTCCGACGTGCCGGAGGATTCTAGAAACACGACGGGAGAGCTGTCCACAGCAGACACTCGCACTCAAATAGCCGTGGCGCCAGTCGGCACTGACATTGCAGAAACCGATATGCTGGAGGACGGTGTCAGTCGAGAGCGCATGTTGGCCGCCGAAAGCTCCGGCGATATGCCATACTGCTCTGCAGACGAAGGTGATGCTGCGTATCCCGCTGGTAGAATGATGGATGTGTTGTATACTCAGGGTAATGCCCTGGCACCTAGCCCGCCGCCGCCATACAAAGTGCGCAAGTGGAAACTACCGGGACTTTCTCCTGCTGCTAATCTTCCAGCTGACGGTGGTAGCCGCAACGGCAATCTATCCCCGCTCGATATACCGTCACCACGCCCCGTATTGCTACACGAGGTACCCGAAACGCAATTTAATCCCGACGACACAGAGGCGAGCGAAAGCTTTGGCCTGATCTGTGCCACTCGCAAGAAGCTCACGCCGTCCGGAGGTGACTGCAATGCACAGTTCGTAATACCGGAGACGCTCAACATCGATATGGACTGCGATGCACCACAGTCCCAGCGTCTGGAGCGCCTCAGCTCTGCTGACACAAGCGGCTCACCTCTGCTGGCTAACGTCACAACGTCGACTCAGTCCTGCCCATCGCACAGCACCAAATCTCACGATCGTACCAGTCACCCTAGTGGTCCCGTATGCGCATCAAATCACCCCTGTGCAGCTCCATGCGACAGTAGTACAGCGTCTCCTGTTCTGGGTGTACGGCGTACTCGTCCCCTCGGCCGCACTTCCACCACATCCGAGTATGTTGACGAAGACGAAGGCGAGATCAGCAAAGACTCGCACTTAGTCGGTAATCCGCTGAGCATTGATATTTCAGTTGGCAGGCTCGACGGAAATTGTGCCGCAAGCACGAGTAACAACAGCACGGTTTCAGCAAAGTCATCGGAGCAGCCAGCGCGTTCTCGCCTGCAGAGACCGGCCGCTAGCAAGGTGACCGGACGCGTCAAGTACCAGGTTTCCGTGTTCCAGTCACAAGCGACTGGTGGCAGCGCCGCCGTCAGTACTAGTAGTGGACCTGCGGAAGCGCACAATGACATTGGCCCTGCCTTGATGTCTAGAGGGGATTCCTCGGCCTGCTCTTCCCCAGCTGTCTCGGTAGGAGGAGGAGAGGGAGACTGCCGTTGTTGTCAGCCACTGGAGAGGGACGATGCTATTTCTCATGGCAGTAGTGGCACTAGTATTTCTAGTTCAGGTGCAGCTGATCCGAATAGGCTGACCACTAGCTATGGTAGCAAGGAGCGCCTCATACAGGGCTCTCTGGAGGAGGAAGATGAGGGCGAGGACGGAGAAGTTGCAGAAGAGGAGAAATGGTCCTTTGTTCCCATTCCTCCCACAGACTCTCAGCTCTCTTTAGATTTGTCAGCACCGTTTCCACAGTCACCGGAGCTAAAGGCACGCAATACTCCGCAGGCCAGACCCAAGTTGAAGCAGCATACGCCAAAGATCAGACACACCCGCGCTAGCTCTGACGATATGCGCTCGCCAATGCCAGCACTTCCGTTAAGAGCGGCATCGTTTGCTGGCCGCTCGCATGTGCCCGTTGTGCCATGGAAAGCTGCTGATGCCAGTGCCACCCAGCGCGAACATCCTCACTCTCAGCCAACATCCAAGGCCGACTTGGATTCGAGTAGATCCGATGGAGATGTTAGCTTTGACAGCATAGCAGCAAGCTCTGCTAGGAATGCTGCTAACGGTGACGAATGGAGTGCCAACAACTCTGATACGAGTTTCAACTCGACACCGAAACCTGGCAAGGACACCGATTCAAACTGGCTGAAGCGTGGCATTGACGTCACCAAGAGAACCACCGATCGCTGGCTATCCAGGAGTGCCGTCACCACGCCGACGGCCCGTAAGAATCGCAAGGCGAACGGTCTGGTGAACGCGGTCAAGGCTCGAGGTCTGCATCCTGGTATCAACGTAGTGGCTACTGGCAGTGTGCCGTCGGAGGCCACCGCAACTAAGCAGATCACCCTGCTGGATCAGCATTACTTCCAGTCGAAGAAGGCAACGCAGCATCAAGGTGATACCCACAGCAAATCACCACAGCACAGGTCGCCGGTGGATGCTGCCAGTAAGCGGCAAGGCAGACTGGGCACCGTCAAGTCACCGGAAACGTTCCCGTCCGCCGATGGCGACGGCAGCCTGGGAGTGGTCAGCAGCACACCGATTCCTCCTGGCCCGCTCAGCAAAGCGAAGAAAAGCAGCCGCCGGATGACGTGGGATTCGACTTTAACACGGTCACGCAACGCACCCGCTGCTGATAGGGTCACTGCAGAAGGTGCTGAGCTCGTCTCTGAAGAAGCGCCGGTGGTGCAATCACCGTCACCGCGGAAAGCAGATCGTCGGCCACCCCTCGTCAAGCGTACAGCAGTCATCAATCTAGAGCCGGTCAGCTCTCCCCAGGTGGCCGCGGCTCCAGTGTTTGACAGTGCGCGGGCGGCAGATCGGCACGGCGAGGTGGCATGTGGCACCGTCCACCAGTCGACGACGCAGGGCGACTCCACCTGGTTTGAACTGAGCCATCCGCAGCAGCAGGTCGAGATCAGCACTGCTGCGGAGGATCGGTGCACCTCACCACCGGCACCCGGACGACGGTCCGACCCCACTATTACTGTGGAGCAGACAACCTGCCACGCTGATAGCCAGAACAACAGTTACAACCTACTCGCCGGAGATGACAACAATGCAGTTGATCCTGGCACTGAGCACTCGCCGGAAGTAACTATCCTCGACACTCGTCCAGCACCAATGAAAGAGAACAACGGGGCCGCCACCAGCGGAAATCCCTATCGTCCCCGGTTTGGGAGCTTAGGTGCCAAGACAGCGGCCGCCTGTAAAGAGGTGCTGGGCTCGAAGTCGTCCAATCGTCCACGGGGTGACAGTCCACATCAGAAGGTAAGCTGCTGCTTGGGTGTTGCTGCTTCTGTCAATGTATTGCATTGTGTTTGTTCTTGTGCGGTCTATAGGCTGATTTGTGTGCTTCTTAATTTGACGTGGCTAGTGGAAAGAGACTTGCTTTTCTTTCTTCTCTCTCTTGCGCTCTCTCTCTCGCTCTCTCTCTCGCTCTCGCTCTCTCTCTCTCTCTCTCTCTCGCTCTCTCTCTCTCTATCTCTCTCTCTCTCTCTCTCTCTCTCTCTCTCTCTCTCTCTCTCTCTCTCTCTCTCTCTCTCTCTCGTTCCTCCCATGCACCTGTGTGTCTTTTACTGCCCATGTTTCAAGAGTTTATGTCTTCTAACTCTTGGTTGATGTTCACTCTGTTCATACCCAGTGCCTCAAAAGCCATGACAAATCTGATGAGCAACATACTGTTATGTGTAATGTGATGAGGGTACACACACACACACAAATTGAAATACTTATGTGATGTAATGTAGCTATAATGATGATGTGACTATGAATATGATGTAATAATAATCAACTGACTCTCTCCCTCTCCCTCCCTCCCTCCCTCTCTCTCTCTCTCTCTCTCTCTCTCTCTCTCTCTCTCTCTCTCTCTCTCTCTCTCTCTCTCTCTCTCTCTCTCTCTCTCTCTCTCTCTCTCTCTCTCTCTCTCTCTCTCTCTCTCTCTCTCTCTCTCTCTCTCTCTCCCTCCCCCCCCCCCCCCTCTCTCTCTCTCTCTCTCTCTCTTTATCTCTCTTTATCTCTCTTTATCTCTCAATTTATCTGTCAACTTCATGCACGTGCTAAGTTGAATGACCCTGGCTTAGTTTAAAAAACTTCAACCTGCGTCCGTCCTTCTTTGTCCTGGAATGGACTCCGACTGTGTTATCGTGTATGACTGAGTTTAACATTTTTCTTTCCATCTTTTCTCTACCTGTAACTGATCTCCATTTCCCATTCCGGAACATTCTTTCGTTGGAATTCTCCCGAATCTCACATCCCCCCCCCTTTCCTTCCCGTGTCTTCCCCGCCGTGGCTGGTGTGATGCTTCCCTGCCTGCCTCCTGTCTGCCCTGCCCGCCCCCTGCCTCCTCTCTGCCCTGCCCGCCCATGTGCCCCTCTTCTATTTCTGTGCTTCAGCAGACAGCGGTGGCAGCGACGGCTGGCGTGTTTGAGGTGCCCGACCCCGATCTAACACAGGACTTCATCAAGCCGATGTATGTCTCTCTCTCTCTCACTCTCTCTCTCTCTTTCTCTCACACACTCTCGCTCTGTCTCTCCAGCTCCCTGTCACGGGCACGGTGCCTGCACCAGACTTTAGCCACTGCACCATCCGCACCACACCGCAGGAGTAGTTCTGCTACAGGCGAAGGCCACTCTAGATGGTCTCGACAACCGCATTTTTCTGGCCCACTAGCACCCGGTTTAATTAAGCTCTCTCCTCAGGCTGAATTGAGCAGATGACAGGAAATATCTCACTAGCCCTTGCCGTCATCCTGTAGAGGACACGGTGCTGCCGTTAGGCAAGTGGCGGGTACACCGTGAGTGTCCCGACGCCTTGACAATGGGTGCTGACATACTTTGAATATTATGTACACCGGGGGGGGGGGGGGGGGGGGGGGCAACAGCTACAAGTACCGTTAAGCCTGATTTCTTCTTCATTTTGGGTATGCTAAACGTGTCCCGTAGCGGCGAAAAAGCAGCTGACTGGATTCAAACTTGCTGGGCGTCGCGCGACCATCGCTGTACGCATTGCCAAGCATTTTCCGTACGCAAAGTGAAGTATGAATCTGGCTTACTGTGTAGCGGAGACCGTGGGGCTGTGAAGATGACGGGTTTCGGCGCTTCTAACTTGATCATAACACCGAGCTAAGATGAGTAAGAGTCACGCATGCTGCCTTTTTCTAACCACTTACCCTGACCTGATGCTTGAAGCTAACACACACTAACCCTCTGGTCATGGACATTTGTATGAATACTGAAGTAGTTTCTTTTTTTTACAACGAAGTGCTACTTCAGACCCTGTGTTCAGGCATAGGGCGCAGGGGTGCTCGCGGTTAGGGCTGTGTGCTGATTGTCAGTTTGCTGTCGGCGCCGTCTCTGTTGTTATCTTGTATTGTTGCCCATGCTGCTGCTGTGTGTTCCTCCATGCGTGTCAGGCCGGCAAGAGCACCGCTTGGTCAAGAGCGCCCGTACAAGTTCCAGGCGTCGGTACGCAAGCATCACTTGCGAGAACAGCTACCGGCTACAAAGGAAAGCTGCTGCAGCAAAGTAAGTCCACGTGTTGGCGGGTGTACTGTTCTGTGCGCATGTGTGTGTGTGTGGGGGGGGGGGGGGGGGGTACTGGTATGTACATGTATGTACTGTCGCGGACATAGAAATCCGTTGAGAAGTCAAGCGGCCACGGGGCGCTGGCCTCGTGCACTGCTGGTCCATTTTCACAGTCTGTACGTGAACTAGAGTGCATGTCCACGCTTAAAATTCATCCATCGGATTTCTATGTCCGCGACAGTACACGTATATGTTGGGAAAGCGTACGCGAGGGACAGGGTCTACTGTACTTCACGCCTTATCATTACTCGGCAAACCCGGCTGCAATTAATTTTTTGTCTGTGTTTTCGGGTGGGGGCGGGGGGGGGGGGGGGGGGGAGCTTACAATGTCAGCTACACAAACTCTCTCTCTCTCTCTCTCTCTCTCTCTCTCTCTCTCTCTCTCTCTCTCTCTCTCTCTCTCTCTCTTGCATGCCGGTTTGACTTATTTCCGGCCATCTTTCCCGTGCACACGTACACACAGTACTATGAGCTGGACGATGATGGTGACCACCATTGCCAGCACGTCAGCCGGCACCGCGAGTTGAACGCGCCCACCACGGACACGCCGGATGACTTCTGGGACGTCAGCTTCCCGTCGTCGGAGATCTGCAAAGAGAAAGGCTACATGCGGGACGACGACAGCGCTCCTCAGCCGCTGCGGAAGCGGAAGAAAGTCCGCAATAGCCGCACCAAGGACATGTCGTAACGCTGTCAGTGTTCCACCGCAGGCACGTTCATTGATTGGACTGTCATCGTCGCGCAGCCAGGGGTTGAGTTACACATACCAGGATTTTCAAATGTTTCTGATACTTTTTATTACAACACGCAAGCTGCATGTATCCAGAACAATTCCATTCCGCCATTTTTTTTTAAACCAGACTTAGCAACTTGCAGAGATGATGAAATTCCACTATGCAATTAACAATACCGGTTGAAACAAATTGCCTCCAAAGTTCCACGCTTCAATATCAGATTTTTATTTTTTAATGGTTTTTTACCGTGAAGAAAGAGTTTACTGCGCGACGGGGTCCACTCTTGTTCGCCAGCATAGGATTCTATTCCGACTCTTGTCAACGCGCATTCAATCTGCTTTATACCGTCGCAGAGCTTCTATTTGATCCTTTTTAGTATTTATTTGTATGTATAGGCTCTCACATTGAGTTGAGTGCCTTGATGCTGCCGCTCTCGGCACTTGTGCTCTTCCACTACTCTGTAGTAGACAACCCCTTTCTCTCTCTCTCTCCTTCTTTCTTCCTCTCGGGCTCGCGCTCTGTGTGTGTCTGTGTCTCTGTCTGTCTGTCTCTCTCTCTCTCTCTCTCTCTCTCTCTCTCTCTCTCTCTCTCTCTCTCTCTCTCTCTCTCTCTCTCTCTCTCTCTCTCTCTCTCTCTCTCTCTCTCTCTCTCGGGCTCTTTCCCTCTCGCCACATTAGAAATACGTTGCATTGTTTCAACGGCTTTGTGTCGTGCAAGTACAGCACTACTGGTGCTTGCTTTCCTAGAGTACCAGTTCTGTACCTACTTGCGCATGTGCTTGAGTATCTACTTATGCATGTGCTTGACAGATGTCTAAAGTCCCTAGGCTGCTTACCGTGCTCAATGTCCTGTGGACAGAGCCAGTAATACAAATATTACACAGCAATGAATCAAACACGTCTCTTTCCGCTGTTAATCCGAGTTTCGTGTCAAAACACTTCATTGGACAGCATTATGCTGTCTGATGAAGTGTTTTGACACGAAACTCGGAGTAACAGCGGAAAGAGACGTGTTTGATTCATTGCTGTGTAATATTTGTATATGCATGTGCTTGTGTTGGTATCTACATGATTGTATTTATGCCTGTGGCTATGTGGGGACATACGTATGTACATGATTGTACTTATGCAGGTGGCTGTATGGTTGCTGAGTAAAATACAGATTTTTTACCACTCTCTTGGCAAACAATAGGGAGGTTCCGGAGTACGATTTTTCGTGCCAAAATCCGTAGAGGCGCTACGGATTTTTTATACGTCGTTTTCGAGCAGTGAAATGTTCCGGAGTTCGGAACTTATGTGTTTGCCTAGGTTACGATCGCAAACACGTCACATTCCCGCGCTATGCCTTTTTATTTTGAAAATTTGTACCGAAATCAAAACTACCTGCGGAAAATCCATGTTTCTCGTACCAAATTTGTACGCGAAAAACCTTTCTGCACCCGATGACGCAAAATCTCCATACGAAACATGGTTCGTGTGAAAGCCAGTCCACACGGATTCTCCGTGCCGAAAAATCGTATGGAGCACGCCTGGAAAAAATCCGTAGCGCGCCCACGCGGATTTTGGCACGCAAAATCGTACCCCGGAACCTCTCTAATGTGGAAAAGGTGGTAGAGCCACAGTAAAAGAGAGAACATCAAAAAACCATGACTGTATAGTACAGTAAGTCGACAAATATTCAGCACACATTTTTTTCGGCTATTTTCGGCCTGGTCATGTTTGGCCGAAAGTTTGTTTTGCAGGATGCAGTGTGACAGTGTATACAGGATGCAGTGTGACAGTGTATACAGGCGGCAGCAGTACAGGCCAAAAATTTGATGCGGCCGAAATGGGTTTCAGCCCTGCTGGCCTGGGAGGCCGAAATCTGAATGGGCCGAAAATTTGTAGACTTAAAGTACACAATATGTCCAGCCATGCAGCTGCTCACCAGCCGGCAGCCCATGCAACATCAACATCATCCACAGTAGCAGCCATGCAGGGGCAGATGCAGGTAGCAGCCATGCAGGGGCAGATGCAGGTAGCACCCACGCAGGGGCAGATGCAGGTAGCACCCATGCAGGGGCAGATGCAGCCTGGTGTGCGGTTCTCAGACCAGCAGCAGCAGGCGCAGATGCAAGTCAATGAATCAACCGCAGAGCATGATGACAACAAGTTAGAATGGCAATGAATGAACTGTACACCTGATTTCGGAAAGAAACGAAAAGAACACGTCACGAGCGACATGGACAAAAACAACATCTGCACAATAATCACAAGTTCCTGTACAAGCAGTTTGGGTATGTACATGAATTCACAGTTACATGCCACAACAGTCATACTGGTGTGTGGGTCTCGGGGCATCCCAACACGCCATCTACTGTAAAGTTAGAACCTTTCGCTAGAGATTAAATTTCGCTATTTTCGTGACCATCACACATTCGCGAATATAAATCGCCGCAAACCTCTCCGTACATTGATTGTAGACAGTACAAGATTCGACTGAAGAGATAGAATCGCAAAAGTTTCTCATCGTGAACCAGCCCAATTTATGAAAACGCTAAATTTGCACGCCGCGAAAGTTTGTGCGCTTTACAGTAAGCGTGGCTATTGCTGGAATACTCGTACATGTAGTGACAAACTAGCAGTGCCGAAGTAAGACGTATGCACCTGTCTATGTACATCCTTGCCATGTGTGCATGTATGTACATGTAGTGACAAACTAGCACTGCCCAAGTAAGACGTATGCACCTGTCTATGTACAGCCTTGCCATGTGTGCATGTATGTACATGTATAGTACAATACTGGACATAACTACTAAATCGACGGTGTGGAAAGGCAAACAGTTACTGCCTCCTCATTGCTGTAAGCAAGAGCACACGATGATGCACTGTTGCTGCAAGTCATAGCCAGACCCCAGCAAGTACATGTAGTGATGTCATGGTCAAGACTGGCCGAGTCACTACCGGTACCTGCTCATTGCTGCAAGTCGTAGCTAAGTAGCGCCGTTGTGATGACGCTGCTCAGAGATAACAGCTCAAACGGTTTAACGCTGCTGTAGTCGGCAACGGTCGGGATAGAATCGGTAATCCAGAAGTGCTTCAGGAGAGGTTGGTGAGCGTCTTCTGCGTCGCCATTGACTACGGCCCTAGCACCGTCATTGACTACCGCTTCCACTTCGTCATTGACAACCGCTTCCGCTTCGCCATTGACAACCGCTTCAGCTGTGGCCGCGGCGGTGAAGCGGCGCCACGATTGGTTGGGGAACACGGCATGGGTGACGAAGGCACTGATAGTGTTTGCACCGCGTGCCTTAAGAGCCTGCAGTGTCAACAGTGTAAGCAGAGAGCAAGGAGATCATGAGATCAGTGGATAACTTGTGATCAGGAGATCACGGTGAACTTGAGATCAGGAGATCAGTGAACTTGTGATCAGGAGATCAGTAAACTTGTGATCAGGAGATCAGTAAACTTGTGATCAGGAGATCAGTAAACTTGTGATCAGGAGATCAGTAAACTTGTGATCAGGAGATCAGTAAACTTGTGATCAGGAGATCAGTAAACTTGTGATCAGGAGATCAGTAAACTTGTGATCAGGAGATCAGTAAACTTGTGATCAGGAGATCAGTAAACTTGTGATCAGGAGATCAGTAAACTTGTGATCAGGAGATCAGTAAACTTGTGACACAGCATAATAGAGTCTTGGAGCATAAGGAAAATGCAGAAATAGCTTTCAAGTTACACTAAAAGGTTTCTCTTAATTCTGGTTTGTGTGTGTGTGACTGAAAGTTATAATGCATCGCAACTTACACAGACCCGGTGCATGCAACATACCTTTGCGCACTCCATCAGTGTACCTCCGGTCATCACTAGGTCGTCCACAATCACAACGTGGCGGTCCTCTGCGCTACCTGCATGCATGCATGGACGAGACACGATGTTATCAATACTTACCATAATGGCGATTATGTAGTACCAATGTGTGCGTTTCATGTACCAAATTGAAATCAGTCTCCCAAGCAGAGCGGTCAGTGGTTACAGGTAAGTCTCCAATGAAGACAGCAGAACATGGCAATTCTTACCTTCCGTTACGGTGACGATACGCTTGTCTCCATCTCTCAACTTGCTGCAAGTGATCGTCGGAAAGTTCGCAAAGAGGAGATGAAACCTTTTGAATGCGCCTGCACAAGGACAGTATACATACCAAACAGCTCAGTGTAAAAGTGCAACTGAGAAGCTACACCTATGCCCACTCAAACTGCCAACTACCTACACTTCTGCAGCGGAGTGGCACAGTTCAGTGTGAAGTACCTTGGATAATGTTAGAGCAGCATACCATGGGGTAGAAACTTATCAAGTCAGTACCGTATTTTACCGGTTAGCCATGCGTACACACGGTGCATGGCCAGGTCATTTTCAGAGGATACCGGTAGTTCCCGGTTATAAGACTTAGTCGAATCCCGGTTGTAAGTCGACCCCCACCTTTCTCCTTCGATTTTTAGTCGTAAAAGGTCGGCTTATAACCGCTAAAATACGTTACTATCTGTGAGAGACCTGCACTGTACAGCATACCAGCCATTCAACCTTGGATACACTATAGTGTAAAATACGGTGAACCGGTAAAGTTAGCCGGATTCGCGGCCGCATCACCTGACGTGTCGGGGAACACACCAGGCAAAGACATTCGCATCGGGGGGGGGCCACCACTTTGCTCATATATCCTAGTGTGGAATGCAGACCTCACACTGAGTGAGCCAGTGGAGATAGGATAAGTCTAGTGTCGAATGCAGACCTCACACTGAGTGAGCCAGTGGAGATAGGATAAGTCCCAGCACAGAGGGTATGTAACTGCCTGTGCAGACCCATACTGCATAGACCGCATCCTCTCGTACTCATACTGTACCTCAGCTATACACGGTACTAAGACGTTTATGACCCTTGGCGATACATGGTACACAGTATTGCAGCTGTAGCAACACTTTACCTTGGGGCGGTGTTCATCACCTGCACGTAGTACCAGTGAAAAGTTATCAGCTCATACACACAATCATGTATTTTTCATTTTTCAATATAGTGCGGCTACTGAGACCTCTAGGCTGCCAATGTGAGCATTGCTAAGTCCCAAACGAATGACACTGTATCCAACTACAGGCTGGCCGGTGGGATTGCGACCCGGTGTGAGGAGACAGTACCTGACCCTAGGCCAGTAGCCTCGCATTTCTAATCACACGCAATTCAATTCATCATTGTGCCATTTAATACAGTCACAAATACTCAAATAGAACTGAGGCCAGCACAGCAAATGCAAAGCCAGTCCAGTCCACGGTACGAGTACAGGCTCTATTCCCAGTAATGTTGGGCCCAACAGTCAACCAAGCACTGCAAGATGGGCCAAGAAACCAAAGACAGCCGCTCCAACCTTGATCGGGGAAAGCTATGGAGACCTTGTCGTGATCCGGAAGCTGGCCAATACGCCTCTGCAGCAGTGGAATTGCTGTCTCCAGCCTGCACAGTGCATGGGTGCAGAAGAGAATCGTAGACACCGCAGAGCACACACAGACATACACTAGTCGTATACTATTACGCACGCCCTGCTCTGAGAAGCGAGCCAGGAGTTCTTTGCAAGAGGCCGAGGGTAAGACAATCAGAAAGATTCAAGGAAGCCGGGCTATCTACGCCCCCAAAAACACTTTGAATCGCCTTCCAAATACATATGTGGGGAGCAAACCCTTTCTTCCAAATACATACAGTCATGATCATACAAGCACGCATGCATGCACATACGCATACGCATATTCATATGTATATCATATATAATACCTACCAACCATCCCGATTAGGCCAGGACCGTCCCGATATCGAGGGTGGTAATAGGCACCCAAAAGTGCATTTTTGTCACATGCCTCACAGCTGAGTACGTTTGTATACATGTTCATACTTAGTTACTAGTATGCTATTGTCCCGATCTCAGGTTTGCAAGGTTGGCACTGAGGTATGATATAAGTACACCGGCACGCACACACACACACATGCACCCGGGTATCTATCCGGGATGCTGTGGTTGATCAGGCACTCACCGCGGGATGACGTTATCGCTGAAGTAGAATCGTTCCTGCAGTGCGTGGATGTCATAGATGACGATCTGGGCCGGACCGCGGGCCGTCAACGGTATGGACGACAACATCTTTGACAATGTCTGTGCACATTGCAAAGTGTAGTAACATTACAGTGTCAGTGAAGATCGATCTGATTTTTTGAAAAAGGCCACGGTGGTGCACTTTGGTTCTGTGCTGAGAGGCGATCTTTTAAAACAAGCACACAGGTCTGAAAATTCTGAATGCATGCTGAGGTATTGCACATGTACAAGTATTGTATTTGCTCTTAGATAACCAGGAGTCTCTAAAGGCACTGGCAGGTGGTCTCCTGTTTGTAGTCTGGTTAAAGGCAAGGTACCAGTATGTTGTTTAAAGGGGAAGTTAAGGCAAAAATTAAAATTTCACCAGTTGTAGTCTTCGGGGTGCTGAGTCGAATGGTCGTGGTCCGAGGAAGCTGAGACGCTCCCTTCCTACTTGAATCCCAATCGAACTCGCGCACTTCCACCGAAACTGGGTGACTGCGCCCTACTAGATGGGGATTTGTATGCAAAATGTCACTAAAAGCGCCATTTCGTTCTTATAAAAGCACGGATGACCGCGATTGGCCCATATGTTGTAGTCTTTTGGACGCTGAGTCGACTGGTTTTGGTCCGAAAAGGCTGCGATGCAGCGTTCCTCCTTTATTCCCAATCGAACATGGTTGAACAAGCGGTCACGTGCTCCTGGGTGCCCAAATCACCTGGTCACCACGCCAGCAGGTGACAACTTTCACACCAAGGTTCAACTCGAGTTCAACTCGAGTGACAGGACTGCACCCAAAAAAGGTCAAACAGGCTAGTAAGTTGTACCCTGCAGGCACGGTGACCAGGTGACTGGTGTACGCAGGAGCACGTGACCGCTTGTTCAACCATGTTCGATTGGGAATAAAGGAGGAACGCCGCATCGCAGCCTTTTCGGACCAAAACCAGTCGACTCAGCGTCCAAAAGACTACAACATATGGGCCAATCGCGGTCATCCGTGCTTTTATAAGAACGAAATGGCGCTTTTAGTGACATTTTGCATACAAATCCCCATCTAGTAGGGCGCAGTCACCCAGTTTCGGTGGAAGTGCGCGAGTTCGATTGGGATTCAAGTAGGAAGAGAGCGTCTCAGCTTCCTCGGACCACGGCCATTCGACTCAGCACCCCGAAGACTACAACTGGTGAAATTTTAATTTTTGCCTTAACTTCCCCTTTAATACACCCTTTCTCAAGTGTGTGCCTTCACTCACCGTGCAGACCCGCACAGATTGTTAGATTGAGGATACCTGCATGGGTTACCATAGTTACTATGGTTACTATGGGCACACTGTATCATATGTAGCAAGAAGGAGCCACGGGTGTGTGTGTGTGTTTGTGTGTGTGTGTGTGTGTGTGTGTGTGTGTGTGTGTGTGTGTGTGTGTGTGTGTGTGTGTGTGTGTGTGTGTGTGTGTGTGATCCACGGTAGCCTAATCGGTAGGGGCACTGTCCCGGAAATACGGAAGTGCTTGCGAGAGCGTAAAATCCAAACCGGCACATGGTAATAAAAATAGCCTTCAGTCAAGGGCCGGGCAGCTGATAATGGATGGAAGCCCGCGTTTCAAAGTTTGTATTGAGGCCAGGCACGATTGAAAGGCTAGCCACCTCGTGATCTGATCCGTTGTTCCCACGGAGTGCCTCTATGTTTGTACATGACTGTGCTAATGCTTCAGAGGGTCTGCTAGTGCTTCAGAGGGTCTGCTAGTGCTTCAGAGGGTCTGCTAGTGCTTCAGAGGGTATGCTAGTGCTTCAGAGGGTCTGCTAGTGCTTCAGAGGGTCTGCTAGTGCTTCAGAGGGTATGCTAATGCTTCAGAGGGTCTGCTAGTGCTTCAGAGGGTCTGTTAGTGCTTCAGAGGGTCTGCTAGTGCTTCAGAGGGTATGCTAGTGCTTCAGAGGGTATGCTAGTGCTTCAGAGGGTCTGCTAGTGCTTCAGAGGGTATGCTAGTGCTTCAGAGGGTCTGCTAGTGCTTCAGAGGGTCTGCTAGTGCTTCAGAGGGTCTGCTAGTGCTTCAGAGGGTCTGCTAGTGCTTCAGAGGGTCTGCTAGTGCTTCAGAGGGTCTGCTAGTGCTTCAGAGGGTATGCTAGTGCTTTAGAGGGTCTGCTAATGCTTCAGAGGGTCTGCTAGTGCTTCAGAGGGTCTGCTAATGCTTCAGAGGGTCTGCTAGTGCTTCAGAGGGTATGCTAGTGCTTCAGAGGGTATGCTAGTGCTTCAGAGGGTCTGCTAGTGCTTCAGAGGGTCTGCTAATGCTTCAGAGGGTCTGCTAGTGCTTCAGAGGGTCTGCTAGTGCTTCAGAGGGTCTGCTAGTGCTTCAGAGGGTCTGCTAGTGCTTCAGAGGGTCTGCTAGTGCTTCAGAGGGTCTGTTAGTGCTTCAGAGGGTCTGCTAGTGCTTCAGAGGGTATGCTAGTGCTTCAGAGGGTATGCTAGTGCTTCAGAGGGTATGCTAGTGCTTCAGAGGGTCTGCTAGTGCTTCAGAGGGTCTGCTAGTGCTTCAGAGGGTCTGCTAGTGCTTCAGAGGGTATGCTAGTGCTTCAGAGGGTCTGCTAGTGCTTCAGAGGGTATGCTAGTGCTTCAGAGGGTCTGCTAGTGCTTCAGAGGGTCTGCTAATGCTTCAGAGGGTCTGGTAATGCTTCAGAGGGTCTGCTAGTGCTTCAGAGGGTCTGCTAGTGCTTCAGAGGGTCTGCTAATGCTTCAGAGGGTATGCTAGTGCTTCAGAGGGTCTGCTAGTGCTTCAGTAGCCAGTGCAGGCTGTCGTAATAAAACGACTCATCCGTGTTCCTTTCCCGTGCATGGTACATGCATGGTGTGACGGCAAAATGACAGCTGTCGCAAATCACACTGAGTATTACACGTGTTTTTTGGTGATTCCTGGTTAGCTGCTAGCTTTTCCCTACTCGAAGATGTTGCCGCCGCGAAATCTGGGGGTTTGTGTTCGTCCTGGCGAAAACCATGTTTTGATCCGTTGAGGGAGACGAGAGATACAGTGCGAAGACGTACGATCTGTCCGAGAATCGGCGAAGAAGAAAGCTTCGCAGACGCCCCGTAGTGGTTGGGAACAGAATGGAACATATACCAGTCGATGCCTGTCATGGTAGGGATGACTGCTACGAAGTTTTAGCCCCATGCTCCCCAGCGCTTTTTAGCGCCCGACGATAATTACCAAATTTCATCGATTTTCCATGTGGATCAAAGCATAGTCTCCTCAATCTTCTCCAGTCGAGCTGAGTCTGGACGCTACAATGTCGAGACGCGAAAAAAGAACATGCATGAACACACAGGAGCATCACATGCAGCTGCATTCTGCCTTGACGAAGCTGAGAACAACACCAGCACCACGCATTTGGAAGACATTTCGAAGAAGACGAAGAACTACATATCTGCGTTCAAAAAAGCCTCTGTACTGTGCAGTATGCATGCGTGCATGCGCGAAGCACCGGCGGGGTCCGCGGATCAACTATTACTTCGTTCAAAAATCATTGTGCCACACGGGTTGTATGATTTGTGTGCGATCATGGTCTTTCTTCTTGACAAACAAAAGTGAAGTTTTTCGATCTTCAAATCGCCATAGCGTCCTTCTCATAACTCTAAATCAGCTGAAACTTTGCAGGAGGAATGAAAATGCCATGCTGAATCGATTGGTACCATTTTCGAAGGGTTTCCTTGAAAAATAAAAATTAGCCTGCACTGGCTAGCTTCAGAGGGTCTGCTAGTGCTTCAGAGGGTCTGCTATGTCGCATGGTTTGACTAGAAATTCCTCCATGTTTCTGTCGAACTCTATAAAGCTGCTATACCCCTCAATGATAACGGACGTAGCAAAACGATAAGCTGGGTGCGGTCTCCACCAGTCTTCATTGGTTAAAGGGGAAGTTAAGGCAAAAATTAAAATTTCACCAGTTGTAGTCTTCGGGGTGCTGAGTCGAATGGTCTTGGTCCGAGAAAGCTGAGACGCTCCCTTCCTACTTGAATCTCAATCGAACTCGCGCACTTCCACCGAAACTGGGTGACTGCGCCCTACTAGATGGGGATTTGTATGCAAAATGTCACTAAAAGCGCCATTTCGTTCTTATAAAAGCACGGATGACCGCGATTGGCCCATATGTTGTAGTCTTTTGGCCGCTGAGTCGACTGGTTTTGGTCCGAAAAGGCTGCGATGCAGCGTTCCTCCTTTATTCCCAATCGAACATGGTTGAACAAGTGGTCACGTGCTCCTGGGTGCCCAAATCACCTGGTCACCACGCCAGCAGGCGACAACTTTCACACCAAGGTTCAACTCGAGTTCAACTCGAGTGACAGGACTGCACCCAAAAAAGGTCAAACAGGCTAGTAAGTTGTACCCTGCAGGCACGGTGACCAGGTGACTGGTGTACGCAGGAGCACGTGACCGCTTCTTCAACCATGTTCGATTGGGAATAAAGGAGGAACGCTGCATCGCAGCCTTTTCGGACCAAAACCAGTCGACTGAGCGTCCAAAAGACTACAACATATGGGCCAATCGCGGTCATCCGTGCTTTTATAAGAACGAAATGGCGCTTTTAGTGACATTTTGCATACAAATCCCCATCTAGTAGGGCGCAGTCACCCAGTTTCGGTGGAAGTGCGCGAGTTCGATTGGGATTCAAGTAGGAAGGGAGCGTCTCAGCTTCCTCGGACCACGACCATTCGACTCAGCACCCCGAAGACTACAACTGGTGAAATTTTAATTTTTGCCTTAACTTCCCCTTTAAAGGCGGCTTGTTGGGAACACACCGGTTGTCTTTTAGCCGCTCGGAGAGGAAGTGCAGCTGCAGCAGGGGATAATGGTGGTTGTGGACGGAAACAACAAAGGCTCTTAGACTGCAAATCACACACACACTCACATCACACACGCATGTAAGACTAGAGACAGGTTAGTGGGGAGGGTCATCACACCAGAAACAATACATCATTCACGTTCCGACTGCATGTATAACAGGGGGGGCAAACATACTCTCCCTTTCTAGTCCTCTTTGTTTCATACTCCCACCGCTTTAGGAGTTGCATCTTCACCTTGGGGGGGGGGGGGGGGGCATTCCTACGGATGCAAAAACTCAGCCTCCAGCAGTGTCTCACGCGAACAGTAATTTTTTGTTTTTGTTTCATACGAACAAACTGCAAGGCACATCCTTGTGGCAGTATGGCCCTAAATCCCATTTTATACACCTTTTACCGGGATACTGGAATATAGGCAAGCATAGGGGGATGGACTAAGACCATGATCGAGAAACAGAGCTGGGGTACCAGGTTCGGTCTTTGACCACTTGGTGCGGGTAGGTTGGATCTACTCACCTCCCATCGATTTAGTAGGAGCTGCATCCGCGCCTTGATCCCTAATGCCGGCGGTGTTCCTACGGATGCGGAACACTTGGTCTAACCGAGTGTCACGCGAGCTGTGGTCTATTTTATTTTATTGCTTTAATACCAGTAACTTGCACATGTAGTAGGAGTGCGGTTTGGCAGAACGGCAGAACGGCCACATGGCATTGGCTCTCTACACATCAATTCCCTGCGTACCTGACTTCGATCACCCGGGGGGGGGGGGGGCATAAGCGACGACAAGGGGGAGGAGATGAGTACTATTCGCACAGTCGTCCTTATGTTGAAACAATACTTTCCCAATACCTCCTCAGTGCACCTATGGGGAGAATCGACTAGAACGTACAGGCCAACATTAACATACCTCACATGATGGTAATCGTGTGTGCTCACATGATGGTAATCGTGTGTGCTCACTTACTCGAGCGGTTGCTATTTGACCTTCAGTGTCCACTCTTTCCATGGTACCCGTCGGGAAATACGGCAGTATCAGAGTGAATGAGTGAGCCAGATACCTACAGCAATATAATTAGCACATTAGGACACCACCGTCAACGATACACAATCACATTGGGCCACTAGTCAACAACAGATATAGCACATTGGGACACTACCGTCAACGATATAGCACATTGGGACACTAGTCAACAACAGATATAGCACATTGGGACACCACCGTCAACAATAAAATTAATATAGCACATTGGGACACTAGTCAATAATAAATATAGCACATTGGGACACTACTCAGGATGGCGGTGATCAGCGAGTTTAAGGACTAAACTGATCGGGGCGATATGCATCGACAACATGCAGCACGAACCACCTCCATGCTTTCGTAGCAGGCCAGTGTATTACTGTTCCCGATATCTGAGTACGAATGATAGAGGCAAGTATATGCAGGCTTTCCATACAACGGTATACTACTACGGTATACTACTACGGTACACTACTACGGTATACTACTACGGTACACTACTACGGTATACTACTACGGTATACTACTACGGTATACCACTACGGTATACTACTACGGTACACTACTACGGTACACTACTACGGTACACTACTACGGTATACTACGGTATACTACTACGGTATACTACTACGGTATACTACTACGGTACACTACTACGGTACACTACTACGGTATACTACTACGGTACACTACTACGGTACACTACTACGGTACACTACTACGGTACACTACTACGGTATACTACGGTACACTACGGTATACTACTACGGTATACTACTACGGTATACTACTACGGTATACTACTACGGTATACTACTACGGTATACTACTACGGTACACTACTACGGTATACTACTACGGTATACTACTACGGTATACTACTACGGTATACTACTACGGTACACTACTACGGTATACTACTACGGTACACTACTACGGTACACTACTACGGTACACTACTACGGTACACTACTACGGTACACTACTACGGTACACTACTACGGTACACTACTACGGTATACTACTACGGTATACTACTACGGTATACTACTACGGTATACTACTACGGTATACTACTACGGTACACTACTACGGTACACTACTACGGTACACTACTACGGTACACTACTACGGTATACTACTACGGTATACTACTACGGTATACTACTACGGTACACTACTACGGTATACTACTACGGTACACTACTACGGTACACTACTACGGTACACTACTACGGTACACTACTACGGTACACTACTACGGTACACTACTACGGTATACTACTACGGTATACTACTACGGTACACTACTACGGTATACTACTACGGTACACTACTACGGTACACTACTACGGTATACTACTACGGTACACTACTACGGTACACTACTACGGTACACTACTACGGTATACTACTACGGTACACTACTACGGTATACTACTACGGTACACTACTACGGTACACTACTACGGTACACTACGGTACACTACTACGGTACACTACGGTATACTACGGTATACTAAGGTATATTACGGTATACTACGGTATACTACTATGGTATACTACGGTATACTACGGTATACTACTACGGTATACTACGGTACACGTGGTGGCACAAGAAATGCTACCCGCCTCGTGAATAAATCACAGCCACATTCACTGGGCCATACACCGGTGTACATGCACATTGTCCAACCCGACCTGGAAGTATGGTACGCCGAGAGTCATGTACATAATCATTGTACATCGTACTTACCTTGGGAAAGCGTAGATAATAGATAACTGGTCAAAGATAACCTGCTGCGAGTGAAAGCTGCCGATGAAGATTACTAGATAGCAGTGCAAACAGGCGGCAGTCAAACAAAGAATACCCATGGATGGATGTTCTGAACACAGCATGCAATGTGTTGTATGTGTGTGTGTATGTTCTGTGACTCTCTGTGCATATCTGTGTGGCCGGCTTCAGATAGCAGTGCATGCATTACGTAGTGCTATTCTCGGTCAGTTTCAAGTTTGTAGATTATTTCGGAAGGTTGTTTCTGCATTTGTGAAAGTACTAGTATGTGGAACTCACTACAGACAGTCAACCAAGCCGTTTATCACATGCAGGATCAGTAAGCTGCAACATTGGCAATAGCATTTGTTTGGGATTCCAGCATTCCAACATTTTCAACTACTTGAATTGCATCCACCCATCAGACTCGGCAAGTCTCTAAGTATGCCGCTGGGCACAGTGTCAAACACGACAAGGGCATAGCAGCTGGTCTGGCCGAAGCCGGACCACTTTTTCGCCCGACCACGTTTTTGCACCCTAATTTCAAAATTGCCCGCGGGGCATCCCCCGCACCCCTCTCCGGCCAGACCACCTCCAACGGCAGTGAGGCTATGCGCCTGCGTGACGGGTATGTGCCCATAGCTCGGTTCTCCTTACCGTCTTTTCCAGCGCACTGTTTGACATTGTCAATGAACAAGTTGGGCCAGCCATCCGGGAAATGCTTCCAGCGTATGTCAGCAGACTTGAGTTCAACATTGCGATACCTCTTATCAGCACCGGCTGACTGCAGAATTGAAAGAAAAAAGTACAAGTATTCAAGTTCCAGGACGCACCGATAACCCCTCCCCTATCCATGCAAACAGTCCAGTCCGTTGAAATGTCACTTATCCGATCACTAAACCTTTGATGTATGTGCATGGGCCAGTGCTGCATGGACAAGTGAGCATTGCTAGTGCAGAAAACAGTCAATGCATGTTACTGTACTACACACACACACACACACACACACACACACACACACACACACACACACACACACACACACACACACACACACACCTTTGACCTTTTGACGCCAATCGCCAGAGGCGAAGATAGCAATGCTACGGCAGAAGCCATAGCAACTTGTGCTGGGATTGCACCATTCAACAGCTTGCAAGGCTGAAGAATTGACCGTCACTATTCAGCCTGGTCTACACCATACAGCTATTTGAAGTGACTTTTTTCTGGCCAGTGAATCCCTATTTCTGGTCTTTTCATTCAATTTTTTCCCGCACACACCATCACACCACATACTCCGGCATGCACTGGCTGTTGGTAACCACCCAGGAGAATGAAAGAAAAGTCAGGAAGAGTCTGAGAAAGAGAAGAAAGACGTGTGTGACCATACTCGTCGGGAATCGAACCCGCAACCTATCGATTGGAAATCGCTGCACAGTGCTTTAAACATCATATTGTCACGACGAATAGCTGGTCAATCATTGGATTGCCAAAAGGGGCATGAAGACAGTTAGTCCAACGAATCAGAATTATGATGCTGTCACTGAGTAGCTCTGCTCTTATGAGCTGTATAGGGTAGTTTAGAATGGTAGGAAGCTGAACGCATATCTGGCTGTTGCATGTCCAATGAGCCGATGGTATTAACCGTAGTCACCAATAAAGTTACCAAGACACTGTAAAGGAGAGGCGATGTACCGATATGGAAGGAGATGGAGAGCAACTCCACATGACACGAGATTTCGGTATTGTTGGTGTGATCAGAAGTCGGAAACGAAGGGGGGGGGGGGGGGGGGGGGGACAAGAACTGTTGCACTGCGCAACAGCTAAGTATTATGATGTTCGCAATGTTAGCCACTTCACCTTTTCCACTTTCTCTTCACTGATGCAATTCTCTGATGACACTACTCAGTAGTTAGTGCAGGGTCAGTACGAGTAGTCAGTGCAGAACTGTCAGAGGAGAGTAGGTGAGTATGAAACAGGGAGTAGTAAAATACTGGCATTTTACTACTCCCGGTACTGTATGCGAATGGTGATGGCGTCACACAAGGTGGCTATGCCAGTTGGGCAGAACCAGCTCATTTCAAGTTTCATATCACACGACTGATAAGCCAGTGACCAGAAAAAAGGTGAACAGGGAGTCGTAAAATACCGGTATTTTACCACTCCCTGGTTCTCACGTCCGTGTGCCAGGCTGCCTACCACCTGATGATACTGGCGCTACGCAGTAAAAATTATCATATAACCCCAGTTACCCCACCATCATCAATGTTGGGGTAGAGATTTCAGCTCCAGCTAGCTAGGGACACAGCAGATGTATCAATATAGTACAGTCAAATCTGTCGTAAGCGACCGCCCCTTGGTGCAAGAAAAAGCGGTCTCTTACGGCAGATGGTCTCTTACGGCAGATGTATGGTAAATCCGGCATACCGGGTATATGCTTCCATGTACTCAAATCGACGAGAGTAATGTGATTCTTATAATTATCATTTTATTGGATATTCAACAACGACCATACCCGTATAGTACGCGTATGCGACACGGCAGTAGATAGACACTGCCTGGACTTGAGAGCTACAGCACAGCCTCAGTACAGGCCAGGGCCAGTCGATCGCACTTGCAAGACAGCGCATTTTCACACCTTGCAGTTGACAGCGCACTGGCAAGTACAGTTTCGCACCTGACTGAACCTGGGTCGCGGTCGCTTACAGCAGATTTGAATGCATCCACCATGCATGAAATCGCGGTCGCTGGTCGCGCACAGCAGATGGTCGCTCTGGACAGATCAGTTTGTGTGTGAAACCGTCGGTGCACGGAAAATCGGTCGCTAACGGTAGATGGTCGCCTACAGCAGAGGTCGCTAACGAAAAAACTATTATAGTTTTAAAAAAAAGGAGAAGGACAAAATGTTACGAGTTTTGACTATTAAAACTGTCCACCAACGTAACCAGGTCATAATTAAACAGTCAGCAAGTGCGACAAAATGGCACAACACTGACCAGGTCCTAATAAATTGGCTCACCATCCGAGTTCAACAAAAACTATTGATTGTTTATAAAAAAATGTTTGCTTGCATGCAGGCAGTATTAAAGTATGCAAGTAAGTAACTGAGTTACGCGTAGACGGGCAATTCCTAGTATTTTTATTTATTTATTTATATAATTATGGATTCCCCAAAGTTACGGGCAGTGCTCGGTCCCAACCTGCCCGGATCTGGGGAGTTTCACCATGTTTACTGTACACCATTACATCCTGTGTCTGGTCATTACTGGGAACCAAGATCGATGTCAAGATTCAGGATAGTTGTGGTGACAGCCAGTGGTATAGGGGAACAGTAATTCAACATAAGATGCAGGAGGGTCCTGATGGTGTGGTCCTTGTAAAGTGGGCAAATGGTGACCGGGAGGAACTTCTCAACTTGGCGAAGGAAGACTGGAAGACAGTTGACAGCAGCAATGACACCAGGCTAGTGTTCGAATCTGAATTCTCCGAGTCTGAAGTTAAACATGTCGTAAAATCAATGGTTTGTACCAAGTCCGGCGGAACAGACGGTATGCCCATGCAAGTGCTATGTCATCTGACAGACAAGGCCATCTCCGAACTTTGTCGCATTATTAACCTGTCCTGGACCACTGGTTATTGTCCAAGAGCTTGGAAAACCAGCCGACTTGTCCCTGTACCCAAGCCCAAACCAGGTGCATTTAGACCTATCAGCCTAACAAATGCTCTCGGTCGTGTTACGGACCGACTGATGACAAGGCGCTTGACCCATTTCATGGAGCAATTTGAATTCATTCCCGGCGAACAAGCTGGTTTCCGTAGAGCCATGAGCGCAGAAATGCAATGCTGCTCTCTTGTCGAATGGGTCGCCCAGAAGCAGCAAGCAGGTCACCAGGTAAACTGCGTTTTCCTAGACGCATCAGCAGCGTATGACAATGTTAATCACGACATCTTGATGGCTAGGCTCGGATCTCTAGACCCACCAGCTCGATTAACTCGGTGGATCAATTCCTTCATCCGTGGACGAATCGTAGACACGAAGTGGGGTACACCAGTCAGCGGCAAGAGAACAGTGCATCGTGGTGTGCCACAAGGGGCGTCAATCTCGCCCATGCTCTGGTTAGTGTACACGGCTTCGATTTTTGACAACCTGGCTCTTCCAAGTCTATCGCAACATCAGGTGGACGTCATGCCGTTCATGTACGCAGATGACATCGCCCTCGCTGTGTCAAGCAAGAATGTGTCAGCTATGCAACTCACTATGCAGGAATTGCTGGACCACGTGTCTGATTTCTGTCGCCGTAGCTGCATTACACTAAAACCCGTCACAGTCAGTACAAGTTGTTATTTCAACGTCTTACCGAGTTCCACACTTGTCTTTGCACCAGTTCCTCAACAACGTTGCTATACCATCAGCTTCCTCAACCCGCTTCCTGGGGATCGTTGTGAATGCCAACATGAACTTTTCTGAGCAATGTTTAGCTGCCCGTCAACGCATCCACCAGCGTCTGCGAGTCATCCAGGCCACGACTGGTCGGGAGTGGGGCTTGGACCAACAATCAACGATGCGCCTCATCAACCAGTATGTACTGTCATCCGGGTTATATGGCGCGGCTGCATACTATGGCCTCACAACGAACAGTGGAAAACGACTGCTGGAGACAGCTTACAACCAGTGCCTGCGTGTCGCTACAGGATGTGTGCCTTCTACACCACTGACCAAGCTCTACGAGGTTGCAGGTGCTCCGTCCCTGCATACAAAGATCACACGCCAGGCTGGGAATTTGGCCAATATTGCTCATCGTCACAACACCCCAACCCCTGCTCGCACCGTTCTCTCCACTCAGGTTCCTCAACGCATACGCCAGGACAAGACCACTTGGCAACAGTTAGCCCAGGAGACTTTGCCTACTCAGCAATTTCTCCCGCTGCCTTCGCGACCACCGCCATGGGCAAAGGTGGAGAACTTGACGATCCACATCACTGACTGCAGCAGAGATGATCCCCCGCATGTCCGGTTGTCTGCAGCCCTGGAGTGCCTGGACAAGGTTTCCTCTCTTTGTGCTCAATCTCAGTCATATGAAGTCTGGACAGATGGTAGTGTCACTGATGAGGGTACAGGAGGAAGTGGCTATCTTGTCATCAAAGTCACTGATGGCCAACGCTCTGAAGTGTGCAGTGGAAGCGATCCTGCAGGCGTGGTAGCAACTTCCTTCACCGCCGAGGTAACTGCAGCAGTGGCCGGTCTCTCTGCGGCAGGAGATCTACTTACGGCTGGCCTCACCAACACAGATGATCAACCCTCGCTGCCAGACCTCATCCTCGTTACGGACAGTCGTTCGTTGACTGTTTCTGTTGCCGGTGATCCGTACCGTATGAGCCCAGATACGATTCCTGTGTTTGAGGCTATCAAGAGCATTAGCCAGCTTGTTACCAGCATCCACCTTGTCTGGGTTAGCAGTCACTGTGGCTTATTCCTCAATGACAAAGTAGATCGCCTGGCTGCGGCTGGTACCCAGGTTCCCCAGGGTCACGTCCGTCTTCCAGTGCAAGCCACCAAGACTGCAGTCCGCAAGGCAACACGGTACCCGCCACCACTGCTCGACACCAAGAAGCTCGGTGACCTTCGGACACGGAAAGCGTCCTGCAAGCTGAACCAGCTGATGACCGGCCACTGTAGTCTTCTGAATGGCTACCTCCACCCCATTGGAGCTGCAGACTCGCCTCACTGTGTCTTCTGCCCTGGCGTCGTCGAGGATGCAATGCACTTCCTTTTCGACTGCCCAGGAAGAGCACAAAGCCGCCACTCTGCAGCTCTTCAGTCGTCTCCATCCGTCAGTCAAGCTGTAGCCGACTCTCCCTACAAAATTGCACAATTCTTGCAGTTGGAGAAACTGCTATGAAGTTTCGAACACAGTCTTGAAACACGATACATGATGAATTGCTGCTATTATTATGTGAACTCTCATTACTGCGGTATTACCTTCCACATAATCATTAGTCTAGCATGGCGTCATATATTTGTCTCAATTCAGTGTTTTCCGAAGAATAAAAAAAAAAAAAAAAAATCCTGTCCAACCTTGCCACTATTCCAAAGCAGGACACCCATTATACAATGTATACAAAGGCAATCGTGTCCCATGTAAATGTACACAAATGTTTTGGTCCAAAGCAGGACGGTTGGACAGTCTGCGGCATTACCATGCCCATGACATGTACAGCTTGACCTACCTTAGCCGCGACATCAGTGATGATTGACTCCGCTAGCTTGTTCATGCTCGGATGACAGTAAATCAGAACGGGTCGACTACCAGCCACAGACATCTTGAATGGCTGAGCGGCGACGGCCACGGAACTCACAAACGTTTTTCCTGAGTACAAAGAATACTAAGCTGCTGTTTGCAGCGCACCGGACTATCAGGACAAAGGCTAGTTCACTCTTCTTCTTTTTTTAGAGTGGCTTAACGTACGAACGATAAGGCAACTGAAGGGCTATCGGGTAGTACATGTAATTCAGAGGTGGCAGCCAATATCTGCAACACTGCTCCCCTAATAGACACCAGCAAGTACTATTTCGTCGTCAGCTCGGAATCTTCAGCCCATCTAACAGTCAACTGAAGAAAGAAGAAAGTTGTGACACGTATTGTGGACTGACCTGCAAGGGTGCGGAGCGGCGCACACTGCTGCCGTCGCTTACATGCATGGAGCTTCTCCAGGCGAACGGCTGCTAGCTAGCTTAGCGCTTGTACTCCCTGTTGCTCAGTTTCGATGATCGATGGCCACAGCGTGGAAATGTTTCGCAACACTGCGATCATTTCCTAATCAGTAATTATCTTCTGCGGACGGCAGTAAACAGTTTTGAGCTGCCGGCCAGTCCTCGTAGCCGTATACTGCACTGACGTCTTTTCAAACCACTCAGCATGATCAAAAAAGATTTTAGCCATTCAGCCTTTCCCGCGCGGCACGTGCACCGTACCAGCACGGGCCCGCGCGCGGTTCACGACTCGACTTGTACTAGTAGTAGTACTTAGTAACCTGCTGGCTGTAGTATACTGTTGTAGATCTACGAGGTACACGTGCGCTTGGTGAACAGAGCGGGCAACGGGCATGCACTTGACCGATGTCCTGACGTCATGACCATGACGTGCTATTCGACATGACATTGTATTGTATTAAATTTTATTATCGCTGAGAAGTGAGAGTATCGCTGAGGTCGACTATGAGTATGACTATAATTATGAGTATGACTATGAGTATGACCCGGTACCGATGATGACCAGATGACTGTGTAGATGTATCACAGTCAGACAGACTCATACTCATCAAGAGTAGCAATACTCATATCAAGAGTATAATTGTACGAAATAGTGGTTGCGACTTCGGCGATGATTTGTAAGAAAGGTTTGCTCCCCACACCGGAGCTCGCGCTATTCCGCCGACTTTACTTGACACTTGACTGACTCACGACTGCCATCCAGAGCACACGAGAAGTCCATCGAACCTTCAACTCGGCAAACCTGCAAGAAAGCACCACTCCCTGCTCAATACACAGTGTTTCGGGGAATTCACCCCTCATCAGTTGAGCTTGAGTAGGCTGAGCAAACCTTTCTTACAAATCATCGCCGAAGTCGCAACCACTATTTCGTACTGTTGTGCCCAGCGCGGGCTTGCGACTAGTTGGTTTGGAGGTGACAGCGTTGCGAATGACCGAGGGTCCTCGACGTCTGTCTCACCGTCCAGGAGCGACACTGACTCACGCTGCTATCTGGTGTTCACGAGGTGTTTGTCGCGCTGGAAGCGGAGCGTCTCTGTAAGTTTGTATCCCTGGTGATGTTTGTGCCTGGAGAGCACTATATAAGTGGTGCTCTTCAGGCACAATCTTCCTCAGCCTACTCAAGCTCAACTGATGAGGGGTGAATTCCCCGAAACACTGTGTATTGAGCAGGGAGTGGTGCTTTCTTGCAGGTTTGCCGAGTTGAAGGTTCGATGGACTTCTCGTGTGCTCTGGATGGCAGTCGTGAGTCAGTCAAGTGTCAAGTAAAGTCGGCGGAATAGCGCGAGCTCCGGTGTGGGGAGCAAACCTTTCTTAAGAGTATAATTTTTAAATATAACCCCCCAGGGGGTTATCATTTATTATACTCTTGCTCATATCATATATGCATAGTCCTCTGTCCACCCTGCACTCCATAGAACGGAGCACGTCACGGCTGTTACTGCGCCATTTCCGCAGGTGAAACGAGCCCATGTGGAGCCCATCCGCACATTCACTCATAACGTGCAAGGGCACGCTATCATGGCTATAATCACGTCCATGTCCATGTCCCTGGAACCCATACAAAATGGACCCGTTACTGAAAACAGCCTTTTTCGTTTACATAATTGCACCGAAATATTGTAGGGCCGCATGCAAACCGTAAGGCGTAAGTGCACTCACACAAATAGGAGCCTATGATCCCCCAGATAGGCGTTAGCCTTTGGGTAATCCTGAAATAAAGATTATTATTATAATATATATATTATTATACTGTCATGGGCCACTTGCCAGCCATGACTCGACTTGCTGCTCGTATCTGTCCCCGGGGAAAATTGCAATTCCGCGGCCGCGTTTTTTTCCGCGTTTTTTGCGATTTTTTAAAAGACCGCGTTTTCCGCGATTTTCCCGCGTTTTTTGAACTTTTTTGTTGCACTACACGTACACACAGTGCACTGTTCGGTCAGCAACGTCTAGACGCGTCTCATCGTGGAGGCTTTTTACTCAAATATGACGAGTGCTTACACCAGAGACTTGTAACTGATTGATTTCACTACATACTCACTGAAAATTGCCGCACATCAATATTATTCAAAGCATATTTACCGCAAATTATGCCATATTATGCCGCGTTTTTCCCCGCGTTTTTTGCGATTTTTTTCCGCAATTTTCCCCGGGGACAGTCACATAACAGTGTTACCAAGTGCCCTCTACCCCCAATGGCCCCATGCGTACTGCCCAGTGCCATTTTTCAGAATTTTTCAGAGTTTTCCGTACTCGTTTTTCAGGTCAACATTTTGACAGGCGGTAATTTTTATTAACTCTCAAAATAGAAATGAAAAACGTAAAATGTTTGGCACCTATGAAGTCAGGGGTAGGCCTTGACGGATTATGCTAATATTTTCGTGAAATTATGCTTTTCGCATTGCTGAAAAAATTGCAGAATTATGCTATTTTTATGCTAAAAGTTATCATATTATGCCGCATTATGCTCACATATGCTGCTAATGCATAATGGTTCTGTGCAAAATAACAAGGGAATTTTTTTGTAGAGGGCGTTGTACTGTAGTAGCAAAAGTTCAACGGGGTCAACGCACTGTCCGACCTAGCTACGACCATCACCGATTGTAGTGGACTGGACATGTTATCAAGGGAGTCGTAAACCTACAACTTCCTAGTGCATCTACTTGTACTTGTACTTGTAGAACATGTACAACTGTATGGAATTTGATGCGAACAGGTGGATTATTACAATTTTATGCGATTCGTATGCAATTTGCCTCGAATTATGCGATTATTCGATTTTGGTAGGAATTATGCGAAAAATTATGCTAGCATAATCCGTCAAGGCCTAGTCAGGGGATGGCCCACGCCTGGTAAAAAAACAATGAGGAGTTAAATACAAAGAAAACGAACTGAAAATACAAAAGTAAATGAAACACCATTACCAAAGAAACTGTACTGTATCATGTACACCGTTTATGGCACCAGGGCACATTCAGCAGCTGCCAGCACAGCCGAACCAGACAGATGTCGAGGCGGGTTCCGACGGTGACCACGTAGACTGGCAACCATTGCTCGAACAAGGCAAAAGGAGATCTTCGCCCGTACAAAAGCCATCATAACCGGGAAAGGCTCACGGCGCTTTTCACACAGCTTGCTGGCAATCCTGGCAAAGAGTGCCGAAGCAGCTTTCCCCTGGCCGCCAGTGGTTGCAAAAACCACGGGTACAAACGAGGAATGCTCCACCTCCAGGACTCGCCGTTCATACTTACGCCTCTTCTCCTGCTCGTGCTTTCTGTAGACAGACGGGAGAGTAAGGTTTCGGTTGGAGGGGACAAAAGGGTTAAACACCCGAACATCAAACATTGTCCTCTCTAACCTACTCCCATACACTCCACGTGCTGCCACATCAAGACGAGCATGAGCCTCCGTGTTGGCCGACCGGAGAGGGAATGTTTCACCAGAGAGGGGTTCCAACTCTGGCTCCACGCTGACGTCATGCGCAACCTCACGCAACAGATTAGCGGTTAGATCCCGGAGCTCGTTGTGGCGCATCCCAGTGAATCCTCCGATGGCACATGATAGGGCATGGGTGGTGTCGAAGGGCTTTCCACAGGTGCAGTGAGTGAGACGGCAACCGGGGAGGGGTCCAGCTGTAGCGCAGACATAGGGCATCCCGGAAGCCAGCCTTGTGGATGGTAAACTGGAACCGGCGAGATGGCCGACTAGTGAGCCAACTGGAGGCACCTTTCTCTGCGGCTAGATCCAGAGTCCGCCTGTGGTCGTCACTCAGGGTATCCCTGAGGGAGGAGAGGGCCATTGCCTGATCTTGGCGATTAGCTGTGCGTTGGGCCGCCTTGGCTGCCTTGGTGGCAGCAACAACTTCCTCGATGGATTCCTCCTGTCGAAGGAGCTGCTCGACTAGAGGTCTGGTGACAGCCGTAGACGTGTCGTACTGCTGGGAAAGGGTCCCTGGGTTTAGAATTCCCAAACCACCATGACGACACGGAAGCGCCAGGATGGCACGTTCTTCCTCTCCGGGGGCCTGGCGACCAGTCAGTGCAGGGAGGAAAACTTGGCTGATGGAGTTTTCCAGCGGTGTCAAGAGGTCCGCGATGGCTGGCATTGTTCTCGCAAGGAATGACCACTTATGGCGGAGACCATGGGTAAGGACAGCGTAAGCAGCCTGAGGTTGAGACGCCGCATGTTTGGCGAGGGTCTGCAGCTCTGTGCACCATGTGTCAACCTTCTGCGACACGTAACCGTCGCAGAACAGGGCAGAGCCTAGGGCAGCACCAAGATGACGATAGCCGTCCGTCCGGATGTTGACCCCGGTTGTGGCAAACAATTCTGTTGCTAGCGCAAGATGTTGTGGCTTCACGAGGAGAACGGACTTTGACGGGTTGATGTCGTAACCATACCTGGTGCCTCGATCTACTAGGATGGACCACCAGGTGCGCATTCGTCGGAGAGCGCCGGCTGAAGTTGCGTCATCGGCATACCAGGACTGCATGGCCCCAGCTGCGGCGGCTTCCCGGATCAGTGGCACTGTGCCAAGCGCATACATTGGCATAGCCAATGGGTCTCCTTGAGTGGTGCCCTCAGAAGACAGGATCACCTCTCCTCCAACATACAGGTGAGCTGGGGAGCGGTAGGTGTTGATAACAGCTGGCGCGAGCTCAGGACATAGCCCCTGAACATTGCGCAGGCAAACAGCTCTATTTAGGCGATTGAATGCGTTCGTTGCATCCGCGAACAGGACTCCCTCCGTGTGGTCATCATCGAAGGTGGTCTTCACCGCATGAATGGCGGCTTCCACGCCGCACTCTTGCCCACCGCATAACTGCAGACAGCCAACAGCACTCTCTACTGCCGAGCCAACAATTTGAAGTATGGCTTTGCCCAGAATGCGGCGGACGACTTCCCCGATCCCGATAGGCCGAACACCTGGCTGCTTGTCCAAAGGTACTAGACGGCAAGCCACATAAGCTTCCAGTGAGATGGGGTCCACAAACTTGGTAGCTATTCGCCTGGCACAGGTAACCAGAGCATCGCAGAGTGCATCCGAGGCTGAGCGGAAGGAGGTGCAAATCTTTC